GAGAGTCGGTTACGTGTGAAAAAGGATTAACACCCTTACAACGCCCATAAATTAGTACAATTTAATCATGCGCTATTTTCAGTGTTTGATAAAATAGTTTTGACTTGAAATTTAACACTAATTTCTTTCGTTTAAAAAAATATTTTTTCCTAAAATTTTTTATTTAGAAATATTGAGAAATATTTAAGTTAAAGAATTACCTTAAAATTCTCTAACATCTAGGCATAATTTAAAATAACTCTTTTTGCTTAAGATTTAACACAACAATTCTTAAAATGAAATAACATTCTTTATATATGATAATTATTTGTGACTCTCCAACATCTAGGTAGAATATCAAGAATTATTTCATTCGAAATGTTATTTTCGTTTTAGTTTATAATATCACATATTTTGAAAAAAAAAATACATTGTCCTTTTTAATATAAAATATTTTATCATCAAGTAATAAATAAAAATTAAAAATAGAAGAATGCAAATAATTGCCTATGATAACATGCTAAAGTATGTATATCAATGAATGTTATATAAGATGAAATGTAATTTTAAAGTTGGGTTCTTAAGTATAATGAGCCCACCCCGACTCCCCAACATATAGGCAGAGCTTAGGTACGATTGTTTATACTTAAAAATCGAATTTACTATTATACATTTTATTCATTAATCCTATTATTAATGCGAATTAAGAATCCGTATGAAAAAATTTAATGAAATAAAGTTTCTTAAATACCCCATCATCTAGGCAGTATTCGAGAACAAATCATTTCATATGAGATTTTCACACGTATCCTTAAAGTTTCGAAATGATTTTGAGTAAAGGATTGGGTAGAGGTTTTAAAGGTTAGAGTTTCAAGATTTTGAAGATTCGTTTTAGGGTTTTGATTTGAGTTTTAAGGGTTTTAGGGTTTAAAGGTCTTAGGGCTTGAATTTTAGGGTGTGGAAGGTTTATGGTTTTGATTTTAAGGTTTAGAGATTTTAGGGTTTTGGTTTTAAAGTTTGAGGTTTGGGGTTTTGATTTTAGAGTTTAAAAATTTTTTGTTTAAGTTTCAAAAGTTTTGGGGTCTAGATTTTAGGGTTTTGAATTTAAAGAGTTTGGATTTAAGGGTTTGGATTTTAGGGTTTTGAATTTTAGGGATTTAAAAATTTTAGGTTTTGATTTTAATTTTTTTGAATTTTAAAACGCGAACATCTCTAAAAAATTTTAACATATAGGCGGACTTTAAGAGCAAATTTGATTTTTATGAATTTCAAAAATTAACCTTTTTGTTATAAAGATTTAATATTAAAAGAATATATATAATTTTTTATAATAATTATCTAACATCTAGGTGAAATTATCATTATTTAAAGCACAATTGTATTCCCTCCAACATCTAGACAAGGAAAAGTTTTATTATTATTATTATTATTATTTAATACTTGGATTATTAAAAAGTATTAAAAGGAATTTAAAAGTTTTGAAATCATTTGAATTATTGTTGTAGCTATTGTCGTTTAATCATTATTATTGTTAATTACTATAAAAAAATATTTATTCTAATAAACTCTAAATATTTTTAAAACATGCATGAATAACAATAATAATAATATTAAAAATGATATAAATAAATAATATATAACAAAAAAAATTTTTTTACTTAAACCATATCGATCAACATCGATTCGGTTGGGTAAAAAACATAGGCGGTTCAAAACAGTTCAAAATCGGTTTGCTAGCAGTTCAATTCAGTCTGATTGAACCGGTTTAGAGTCATTGGGGGATGAGTTAACGGATCGATTGCGTGGATCTCAGGTCGAGTCACAGGCACATACGGATCCTCCCCTTCTAAACGACGTCGTTTCGTTCTTTTGTTTTTTTTATATAAAAGCCACATTTTTTTTTGTTAGATCATTTTTCCTTTTTCTAAAAAAAAAACCCGTTTCAGCCTTCAAAAAAATTCTTTGGCCTTTGTCAAAATTTAGTGCCGTGCCATCTCGTCGACGGTCGCTAAGGCTCACTGTCTGCGACAATTACCGGTTGTTGCCGGTGATCGAAAAATAGAAAAACTTTTTCAGAAGCACTCCTCTGCTTCCTCTTTTCAAATCTGACACTTTTTTTATCGGAAACAGCCTTGATAGTAGCAAATCAGGACTGTGAAGCTTCTAAATTTCCTTTTTTTCTTTTTTTCTTTTTTTTTTAAACTTCAACTAATGATTTCTCTTTTTTTGTTGCAAAATGGCTTTGGTGTTGAGGTTCCTTCCTATGGGAAGGACTGTGTCGTTCATTTTATTTATTTTTTTTTGTGGATCTGTTTTGGAGTTTGTTTTTTTTTTGTTTTCTGATAGGTGAGGATGGGGGAGTGTTTGGGTGTGGGGAGTTTTGCATTTTTTGGGTAAGGAAGGGCTTGATGTTTCTGTGTCGTCTGGGTGTCCGAGAGCCAGCCTGAAAAGGGAAAAAGGATGGATGCTTTATAAGGCTGAAAATGATGGTGGTAAGTAGTGTGGACATCAAATTTGTCTGGTCACAGAAAAAATAATAAATAAAATAATAATATTATTAAATACAATAATAAAAATTAAACAAAAATATAAAAAATAGAACAAAAAAAAAAGGAAGGATGGCAGTGGTGCCTTCCCCGACACCACTGCCACCACACCCTACCTACCATACCTTACCCTACCACCCATTCTCTGATCACCCATCCCGCTGGCTTCTAGCCTTACTGTTGCCAGATTAGAAAAAAACAATAAAATGGGTATGGGTCTCGTAAGAATTATTTCAATAAAAAATGTTTTAATTTATCTTTCTCGAATAAAAATGAAACAACAATTAATAAATAATAAAAAAAATAATTTCTAATAAATAAAAATCAAAAAAATTATTTTTTTAAACATAAAAGGGATTGTTTTGTCAAAATCAAAGGATAATACGTAGTTAATTGGTACCGTTTTTAAACGGACGTCGTGGGGTATTAATAATTTCTCATGCGTAACCGACTCCCGAACCCAAACTATTTTCGCAGACCGTGAAATTATTTGTTTAATAAATTTTAATTAATTTTAAAATCTTATTATAATGATAAATTTTAATATTTGACCAATCGCACCTAACCAAAAAAGATTGATAGCGACTTCATTTTTCGTTCTTTTATTTTCGTTTTTAAATTTGTCAGACGGACACAAAATCGTTATGACAAGTAGAGTGCGCGTTTGGCAAGGTATGAGTGCCATGTCATTGTAAGGTCGATGGTGTTGGGCAAATGGGGCAAGTGAGGAATAGAGATTCTGATGGGGTTGAAATGGTAGTGACAAGAACAGGTGAACAGGCTGGTGCCGTGCACGACACCATGCTTGTCCCTATTCCAACCTCATTCCTTTCTTTTTTAAAAAAAACTTATTATTATATATTTTTTAATTTTTATTTTAATTAAATCAATATTATTATTATTATAAAAAATTAAAAATATTAGACCTGAATAAAATTTAGTGTCTATAAAATTGTTACAAAATTTTTATTTTATATGAAATAATTATTTGAGTTAAATTTTTAATTTAGATGTAAAAAATTTTCTTATACAAATGTAAGAGGTAAAAATTAATCGATAAAATTTATTATTTTCATCATTAATTTAAATTTTTTGTTTTTGACTAAAAAATTTTAAATAACTTCTAAACTATTTTTCTGTAATCCATCAATTACTTAAACACGGTTGTAAAAAAGCATATCACGTGTATGTCACATAGTTAACTGCAGGTGACGTTGGCCATTGGTCATGTGACATATACATCATCGACATTCACGTTTTAATAAATGGCTCACGCGAGAGTTCATTTCATCGTTGACGGAAAGTCAAGGTCTCTTCGAAAAGACGTTTGCGCGTCTGACTGATATGATAATAGGTAATTTCCACAGAAGCTACAATTTTTGATAAAAGTAAGAGTAGTCAATTTTTGCTTCCAGGCATTGAGATTTTTTTTTTTTTTTGCCAAATAAATACTATATACTATATGTTGTACAAATAAATGTATATATTCAAAGATGTTGTTGTAAACAATTAAATTGCAGAATTAAATGTACTTATATGATCGAGTGTAAGACAGTTAGCAACATTCACCAGTTAAAAACAAAATCACACGAACATAAATTATCCAAAATGTCACAACCTAAATTCTCCAATTAATGTAAAGAGTATATGCCTTAAGTATTGTTTGTGCTATTGAATTTAACTCATTTCCCTTGGTTTTTCACGTTTCTTCTTTCCCTTTCTTTGGTGGGGTTAACGTCATCTTTGGTTTTTGTATTATATTAAAATTTTTAATGTAGTATTTTTACTTTTAAAATATGTAATGTGATATTTATATTATCATTTTTTTAATGCAATAATTTGATACTTGAGATTAACATTGTTTTTTTTTTTGCTTTTTTTTTTTTTTTGTAAATGATCATGATTCATGAAAGAGGTTAAATTGATTTTCTTTTGCTTCTTTGGTGTTTAGGTTTTTATTAAAAAGGATAAATTGAAAGTTATACCAAAAGAAATATCAAAATTGTTATGTATTGTAAAAATATTTAACTCAATTGATTCATAAAATTTTATTTCAGGAATTAATTTTTTAATTTATAAAATGTTATTTTCACCATATTCAAAAAGAAATGATTTATTAAGAATTAATGGTAGCATATGTAAAAAAGGTGTTATTTATTAATACTGTAAATTCTTTTGGCAATTATAGTTAAACATAGGGTTATATGTGAAAAAATTTATCCAAAGGGTAAATGTCGAAAACATTACTACCATGGGTTTATGTAAAGTTTATCTTAAAAATAATAAAATAAAAAATATTATTTTTTAAATTAATTAATTAAATGTAATTTCTTTAATTTTGATATATTACTAATGTAACTTGTAATGCAATTTTAGAAAATCTTTTGTGATTTTGGTAATTTTATATATGATTATGATAACTTTTAATATAATTTTGATAGGATTCAGAATCACTGTTTGTTGGCTATAAGGGAAATGAATAAACAGTTGCTCCCTTTTGGAATCTTGTTATATACAGGTTCCTTCTTGGGTATAAAGCCCGAGGGATCATTGTTACCAAATGCAGAGAGTTATAAGCAGTTGAGTGATTTTGATCATACTGAGATGATGGAGCCTAAAAGGTTGTGGATAATACTGACAATACTGTTGTTCATAGAAGGGTGGTGTGAGACAGAGGGGTGTTGGGAGTACGAGAGAATTGCTCTGTTGCAACTCAAACCTTTCTTCAATGATCCTTACTATTTGAGAAACTGGGTGGATGTGCAGGGTTCGAATTGTTGTAAATGGGATGGGGTTGAGTGCAGCATCACCAGTAGACGAGTCATAGGACTCTCTCTTAATTATACAAGACAATGGAAACCGGGAGGTCTTTGGTATCTCAATGCCTCTTTATTTCTCCCCTTTCAGGAATTGAAGAGTCTGTATTTGAAAGGGAATCAAATAGCTGATTTTGTTCACAACGAAGGTTTGTTGCCTTTCATCTCTTTGATTGATTTATCTCTGTCTAACGAAAATTCAGGTCACTGATTTTTTTTCTTTTCAAATTATTATTATTATTATTATTTTGCTTTTTTTTGACTTACAAAATTAAGCCACCTATGACCAAGAACTCTCTTGCAGTAACTTTATCATCTGCACTGGGCAATTTGGAAATCCTCGTCCTATCTAGAAACTTCTTCGATGACAGTATCTTCTCATCTTCAAGTGAGCTTTCATCTCTCAATCAGTTTCTATAGCTAGCAGGCAATTATAAATTCACAGTATCAAAGTCATACACTAATGGAAAACATTTTTATAAATGATAATTTATTATATAAAATGTCTTCATTATAAAATTATATATTTTATAGATCATCTGAATTTTATGTATGATAAAAAAATTTTATGGATACAAGGATAAGAAATTCACATCATTTCATACACCAAAAAAAAAAAATATCATATATTATTTTCTGGAATTTTGGAGGATGAATTGGATTGTTTTTGTTTAGTTTATCAAAAAAGTTTAGCTAAGATTAATGCGCACTCACGTATAATAAAATTAAAAAGGTTATTTAATATAAAATAATTTCTTTAAATTAGGGTATTTGAAATCTATCATTAAATAAATATCTAGCAAATCTATGGCTTAAAAATAATTAAAAATTCTAAAATTCTTGAATATTAGATGCAATCAATTGTCACTTTGAGTTTATATTTGATAAATTGTTAATTAGTATATAAATTTTATATCCTATTATTGAAAGATTGATGTCATCTCATTAATAAATTAATAAAATTATATAATATTACCTTATTAATTAATGAGTAAGTGTTTAAAAAAATATTAATTTTTTATATATTTATTTTAAGAGTTAATATTTATTTATTAATAAGATATTATTATCTGATTCATTAACAATATTTAAAATCTATACACTATATCAATCTTGCCACTTTTATATTAAAAATTTGAAATCTAAATCTTTTTCTAAATCCAGTTTTTCAAACGCAATCTGAGGTTTCTTATTCTATTTTAATTCATCTGAAGACTCTTGATTTAAGTAATTATAACTATTTCTAATGATATAGGTAGTGTTTCATTAGAGTCAATTCTTATTATTTTCAAAGCTTTTTTTTTCCTTTTTTTTTAATAGGATTTAAATGTATATTTCATTGCTCTTGAGTAGAATTGAACAGTTTGACCAATTTGAAGATCTTGGATTTAAGCTCTAATAGAATCAGAAGCCTCCATCATTTTCAAGGTAAGAATTGATATTATACATTCAATTAAATTCTCGAGTCGTTGACAGATAAAAGGCTCGTGTCATGCTGTTTGCCCCAACACTTTTACCCCAATTATATGTTCTTCCTACTATGCTATATATAACTATTGGATCAACTCAAAAATGGGATCCATCAATTTATGAGTAAGTCAACCAATTTGTGAATTTGACATTAAAGTCATATCTATAAATTTTTACTGATAAAATTGTTGAGACAAATAATCTATATTTTAAATTTATACAATTAAAGTTTCAATGAAATCACATGATCTTCTACAGGTAAGAAAACACAACTAATGATAAATTTGGAGGTACTTGATTTGAGTTATAATCTCTTGAAGAATACGACTTTAGCATACCTTAGTGGGCTATCAAGTCTAAAGTCCTTGAGTATTGGAGGAAACCAATTGCAAGGATCAATTGATATTAAAGGTACGTAGAAGTTCATCAAACAAAACAAGGGTACGTAAAATACTATTTCATAATCTTTTTTTAACCGTTAAAAAAACTTTTATATTGGAATTAAGAATATGTTCCAACAGGGGATTTAATTTGTGGGGAATTGAACTAAGAAAACTGTTTATTTATTTGTTCTATGCACGACTTGCTCTGCATCATGGTCTCTTTTGTTTTATTTTTTCAGTAAAGTCACAAATTAATGAATTATATTGAAAGAAAGCTAGCTCCTCATGTACTGTAATTTTGTGGTAACTACCTAATTGGACTGACATAAAGAGTATTTGATTGATTTGGATAGTATTGAATAGTTTGGCAAAGTTGAAGAAGTTGGATATGAGCGACAACAAACTTCAGAGCCTCCGATTTTCTCATGGTATGTATTGATATCAACTTGTAGTTGGGGAATAAAGAAAATCATTTTAAGTATTGAAAATTAAATTTTAAATTTATTAAATATCGTATCTTAATGATAATTAAATAAATCAATTGAGATTAAATTTCAATTTAAGTTCAAATATATACATATCGGTAAAATTTTTATTGAAAATAAATTTAATTATTTATATCTTTTGTAGATGGTGAGAGACAACTTAAGTTGATCAATGTAGAAGAGCTTGATTTCAGTTGGAACTCCTTCAATAACAGCATATTGGCACTGCTTGGTGGGCTTCAAAATCTAAAATCTTTGAATATAAGAAGAAACCAGCTTAATGGATCAATCAATATTAAAGGTAGAATTACATATATTTTTAATCTTTCTTAAATAATCAAAGTAATTCATAAGTTATTGCATTTACTTAGAGAATATATTTTACGTATCTGTGTGATTTAATTTAAATTTATTTATAAATTTTCACAAAATTAGATGCTTTGAATGACTTAAAGGAGTTAAACATCAACTAATATGCTTTGAACAAATTTGTGGCCCCTAAACATAGAGGTATTTCTAAAATTTATTAACTATTTTAGGTCATAATTAGATATGTTCCCAGACCAATTTTTGAACATGAGTCTTGAAGTTTGGAATTGGCTTGCCTTGATCCCAAATTTTATTTAATTTTAATTTTAAAATATATTTTAAAATAATAAAATATTAATTTTAAAATATTTTAATATATTTTAAAAAATTATAAGATTTTTGGGTTGACGTACCAAATCATGATTAAAATTTTTGAATGATTGATCAAGTCTAGTTCAACCCATAAATAAATTTAATCATAATTATAATATATATGTTTATCATTAGATTTTTTGGTGGAAGAAATCTTTTAGTCTGCAATTGTTTAGATGGTAGCTAATATAAGAGGATGTTTCCAAGACCGAGTGAATTTTTTTAATGCATGTAAAGTTATGGAGACAACTTTATAATCTCATTATAAACCTCAAACTCTCCTCCTAAGATTTTAGGGGTGTCTTCTTGGAAACTTTCAAAAAAGGAAAAACCATGCGGAGAATTGAGAAAGTAATTCAATCATGCATATTTGGGAAACTATGGAATAAAAATATACAAAATTTAGGACTTATTAATTACCTGACAAGTGACATTGATAGAGTTTTTTTTTTTAAATAAATCAAGTATATAAATTTTAAGTAGTTAATTAAATTGAGAGGTTGACTATTGTCAAATGCCCATTTAGTTATTATATTAAGAAAATCTGTCCAATAACTTGCTTTTATGGACAACCTGGCAATTCGTTAGTTTTGTTGTTAATTTGTTTATTTGACTTTTATATTGATTTCTTTTACTTAATTCTACAAATCATAATTTTATTTATATATATGTATGTAATTTCTTAAAAAAAATTCAATTGTTTATGCCTATTTTTTCTCTCTTTGGTATTATTGTACTTTTAATTGCTTTTCTTACTTTTGTTTTTTTTTTTTTATTTCTTGACATCACATAAACTGAAATATTTTTATTCTTTTTTTAATGAGTAACTTATTTAATAAAAAATTGTATGTATCATATAGTAGCTGTACTATATTTTTGTGGTAATTACCTAACTGGACTGACATAAAGAATATTTGATTGATTTGGATAGTATTGAATAGTTTGGCAAAGTTGGAGAAGTTGGATATGAGCGACAACGAACTTGAGGGCCTCATATCTTCCCATGGTATGTATCGATATTTTACTTTATTAACTTGTAGTTTGATAAAAGAGAAAACTCTAACAATTTTAAATTTTAAATTTGTTAAATATCATATTTTAAAAATAATTAAATTCATTAATTGATTTAAGTTTCGATTCAAAATCTTACAAATATATATATATTGATAAAACTTTTATTGGTAATAAATTTAATTATCTAAAATTTTTGTAGATGGTGAGAGGCAACTTAAGTTGATCAATTTAAAAGAGCTTGATTTGAGTGGGAACTCTTTCAATAACAGCATATTGGCAATGTTTGGTGAGCTTCCGAATCTTAAGTCTTTAAATATAAAAAATAACCAATTTAAAGGATCAATCGATATTAAAGGTAGAATTATATATATTTTAGTCTTTCTTAAATAATCAAAGTAATTCTTGAGTTATCACATTAACTTAGAGAACATATTTTACTTATTTGTGTGATTTAATTTAAATTTATTTGTAAATCTTCACAGAGCTAGATGCTTAGAATGACTTAAATGAACTAAACATTAGTTATAATACGGTGAACGAATTTGTGACCCCTAAAAATAAATTTATTTCAAACTTTTAATATATAACTATTTGAGGTGATAATTAGATCCGTTTCTGGACCAAATTTTGAACATGAGTTTTGAAATTTGGATTTAACTTGCTTTGATCTGAAATTTTATTTAATTTTAATTTTAAAATATATTTAAAAATAATAATATTTTAATATTTTAATATAAAATTAAAAAATATATGATTTTAAGTTAATATATCAAGTCATGATTAAAATTTTTGAATGATCAATCGAATTTGACCCAACCCATAAACAAATTTAGTCATAATTATAATATGTTTACCATTAGATCTTTTGATAGAAGAATTCTTTGTCGTACATATTTAGATAGTAGCGAATTTAAAATGATGTTTTCAAGGAATGAATTTTTTAATGCATGTAAAGTTAAGGAGATAACTTTATAATCTTTATTGTAAACCTCAAACTCTCCTCCTAAAATTTTAGGGGTGTCTTCTTGGGAACTTTCAAAAAAGAAAAAAATCATGCAGAAAATTGAGAAAGTAATTCAATCAAACATATTTGGGAAACCATGGAACCCAAACATACAAAATTTAGGACAAATGACTGAAATTTAACTTTTGGTTTGATTTCTATATTCCTTGGATGTATGGTGTTTAAATTCTTTTAAAAAAATGATTCTAATTAAACAATTAAAATTTCTCACTAGAGATGGTATTTTAAAACTCAAAACTACTTAAAAGATCAAAATTTAGAAAATATTCCTTTAGTAATTTTGAAGTTCCACGCTAAAAATCAAATTCAAAAGATTGAGAGATTTTTTTTTCCCTGTCCCCCCATGATAGAGTTTATGTTTTAAAAAATAAATCAAAGTATATAAAATTTAAGTAGTTAACTAGATTGCGAGGTTAACTATTGTCACATGCCCATTCAGTTATTATATTAAGAAAATTTGCCCAGTAACTTGCTTTTATGAACAACCTGGCAATTCGTTAGTTTGTTGTTAATTTGTTAATTTAACTTTTATATTGATTTCTTCTACTTAATTCTAAAAATCATAATTTAATTTATATATATATATAATTTCTTTAAAAAATTCAATTGTTTATGCCTATTTTTTTCTCTTTGGTATTGTTGCACTTTTAATTGCTTTTCTTACCTTTTTCTTTTTTTTTTAATTTCTTGAGATAACATAAGCAGCAATATTTTTATTCTCCTTCTGATGAGTAATTTATTTAATAAAAAAATTTTATGTATCATATAACAGATGTACTTTTTTTCTGTTTTCTTTATCTAAATAAAATCTTGTCCATAAAATTTGACAATTTTATTATTTAAAACAATTTTAGATTTTTCCGAACAAAATGCTCCCTTAGATATTTTTTGAAAGAAATCTTCTAGTCTATACATGTTTAGATGGTCATGAATTTGAGATAATGTTTCCAAGATCCCACAAATGATTTTTTTTTAATGCATGTAAAGTTGTGGAGATAATTTTATAATCGTATTATAAACCTCAAACTCTCATCCTAAGATTTTAAGGGTGTTTCCGTGGAAGCTATCAAAATAGGAAAAATCATGTGAAGAATTGAGAAAGTAATTCAATCATGCATGTTAGGGAAACTATGGAACAAAAACCTATAAAATTTAGGCTTATTAATTACTTGACAAGTGATTGAAATTTAAATTTTGGAGTCATAAAGATTTTGGGAATAGTTAGAAGTAAATTTTAAAAATTTCAAAATGGGAAAGTCGTCACTAATATTTTTTTGTTAGATGTGATTGATTATAAAAAAATTTATCTTTTTAATAAAATCTTAAAATTTATTAAAATTTATTAAAAAATAATATTTTTGTCTGCAAAAAATAAAATTAAATTTGAGAGTACAGTTACGCATAAAAAAAAATTAGCATGTCATAACATCCGTTTTAATAATAATATCAATTAATTATGTACTATCCCTTAAAATTGATAAAAATGATTTTATTTTTTATATTTAAAATAAATAATTAGCTTAATTTTCTTATTGCAACAAAAACTTTTTTCTTTTTTTTTTTTTTGAAGGTCTTTTGCTTGAAAATAAATAATAACTTTGTGTGTTGAAAAACTTTCAAAAAATATTTTGATATTTTAACAATATTTGTTGGACTTCTTAAGAATTTCATAATCAACGATTCACATTTATTTTCAAAATTAATGTTTATGATGCATATAATAAAATGATACTCATAATTTAACCCTAAAAAATATATTTTTTTAAAAATCCCATTTTTATCTTATGTAATAAATAAAAGGTAAATGAAAATCTTTATTAAAAATTATTTTAAATGTTTCAATACTTTAATGACATTTTAGAAAAATTCTCATACATAAAAATTTTTAAAAAATCACTATTACTCACAATTTTTTAAAATATAGAGATTTTAATTTTAATTTTCTCCTTTTTTTCAAAATAAAAAAATTATTTATTGTAAATAATATTCATTTATTATATATAATTTGATCACTAAAAAATATTTTTTTTCATTATTTTATTATTTATTATTTTATTATTATTTTATATTTTAAGCAAATAAGTAAATGAAAATACTTTGTATTAATTTTTTTCTAAATATTTCATTATTTTTATAATATTAAAAAATATCCTTACTTAAAAATTTTAAAAAATTATTTCTCACCTCCTTAATATATCATCATTAAAAGAATTGTCACTTTTTACTATTTTTTAATAATAATTTTTTTAAATTTCTCTAATTTATATATAAGTTTACCATTTAGTACATTTTCTCTAAAATTTACCATTTAATACATTTTCTCTAAAATTTCAGCTTTAAATATTCAATTTAATCCATAAATAAACAAACAAATAAATAAGATAAAAAGAAAAAAAATCAAAATCGGACTGGTCAACATCGGTAAAAGGGGCTGGTCAACGGCCAACTGTCGACAATAGGTGCCGATCCGGCTGGTGGGTACATAGGTTGAGTCAGCTTCAACTCCAATTTTTCCTTCTTCCGCCCATTAAAACTACGTCGTTTAATAAACCACCTCCACGATAACACCCCAAAATTTTCGAGACACCCGCATTTTTACTTTCATTTTTCTCTCCAACGTCAAAACCTCTCACTTCGCTCTAAAATAAAAGAACAAAAGCCTTCTTGATTTTCAGAAACCGGCGACCAGCAGCTGGTTGACCGCCGCTTGTCGATGTTGGTTTCAGCCCAAAAAGACCCTTTTCGATTTCCTTTTTCCTTCCTTTCTTCATTTTTCCAGTTGGTTTTCCATAAAAGTCACTACTTTCCCCTAGATCTAATCTAAAAGGTCTCGACTTCAACATAAAAAATCCAGCGCATCGAATCTCACCATTTTCGACTATGTCGTTCCTAAGTCGAGATCTACCTTCTTTTCGAAAATGGCCTCCCAAATCCCCCTGAAACTCCTTAGACCGAAAACGCAAGTCTCTCGCTTTGTTTTGTTTCAGTTTTTTTTTATTGCCTTTGGCACTGCTGAGGTTCCCCGTTCCCAGGGGATGTGGTTTATATTTTTTGTGTTTTTTTATTGGTTTTTGTGGGCTACGGTGGAGGGGCTGTTGGTGGTGATATTTCTTTGATTTTTTTTAGGCTGGTACGAGTTTGGCTAAACCGTAGGCATTTTGTTTTTTTTTTTTTTTCGCTGGTTCTCTGTTTTTGCCCCGTGTGTTTCTGCTAGAAGTTTCGGTGGGGCTGTGGGAGGGTGAAAGGTGGTGGCACAGGCCATGGGGTTAGGATTGCTGTGGGATGCTGGTGGTGTCTTAGCTTTATGCAATAAGCTCGAGCATTGCGTCGGTGATGGCGGGGGTAGTCTGTGGGTTGATGGCCGCTGAGAGCCTCTATGGTGCGGCCGAGTGGGGCTATTGTTGGTGGAATTAAGGGTGAGTGTTTTGGATGGAGCTAAGGTTCGGCTGTTAACGGTGGCGTGGTGGGATTGGGAGGCAGAATCAGTCAGGGGCTGGTTGCTCACTAGGTGGCTTTGGGAAGGCGTAGGGGAGATAGTGGTTTTGGGTTTGGTTGATGGGGGAGTGTAATGGTGTTACTGGTGGTGATGGTTTTGGCTAGTGGAGGTTGCAATGGTGGTCTCGAGTTGGGTGGGTTGAGGGTGGCTTTTTTGGTGATTCAGTAAGTAGTAGGTTCGGCTTCCTTAGAGAGTGGCAGGGGAGGGGTTTTTTTTTTTTGCTCCAATGGAACTTGGTCATTGATGGTTTTTTTTTTTCGTCTCTGAAAATCCTCCTCTCCCTAAAATTTTAAGGGTTCCTATGGAGCTGGCTTTCTGATAGCAGCATGAGAATTGGATTTTGTGGATCCTTATTACAGCAGTGGCTGTTGCCTCTTGGTGGTGGTGCCTGCTGAATATGGGGTTTTGAAGTTTTGCTGAAATCATATTGAAAGAAAATAGGGGTAAAATATGGGGACAAAAGAATAGCCGTAGATGGGAATTGTTCAATGTTAGTTTTAGGTATAAGAGAAAGCAAAGGGGCAATGCTTTTGCGAACCGAAATTCACTCATCAATTTTCATTTCGCATTTTTTTTTTTATAAATTAATATTTAACAAAACAAGAAGGCTTTGGACTTCAAATAACTTAACATTGGATTAGATTTGATCCAGGCCCATGCAAAATTACCCATTCAAAATGTCATAACATTGCATTGGATGGAACTCGGGCCTTGTAAAATGACCTTAACAAAATCAAATGAGTTGAACAAACAAATCCATAATTAAAACGCTCAAATAAAACCGAATCGAAGTGTTCAAGTCAGCCATGGAAATTAATCAAAATCAAAACATTTAGGATAAAATTAGATATTTACATTTGATTCGATTTTTATATTTATTGGATTTATTATGTATAAATTTTTTATAAAAATTATTCTAATTAAACAATTAAAATTACTTATTGTAGATGGTATTTTAAAACTCAAAGCTAGCTAAAAGATCAAAATTTAGAAAACATTCCTTTACTAAATTTGTTGAAGTTCCACACCAAAAAGTGAAAATTATTAAATATAAAATATGATCAAAAATCAAATGCAAAAGATTGATAGAGTTTTTTTTTTTTTTTGCTTGTAATTGATAGAGTGTTTTGTTTTAAAAATAAATCAAGTAAATAAAATTTAAGTAGTTTAACTAGATTGAGAGGTTAACTATTGTCACATGCGCCCATTTAGTTATTATATTAAGAAAACATGTCCAATAACTTGCTTTTATGGACAACCTGACAATTCGTTAGTTTTGTTGTTAATTTGTTTATTTGACTTTTATATTTATTTCTTCTACTTAATTCTAAAAATCATGGTTTAATTTGTATATAATATATATTTTTATATATGTATATATATATATGTAATTTCTTAAAAAAGTTCAATTGTATATGCCCATTTTTCTCTCTTTGGTATTATTGTACTTTTAATTGCTTTTCTTCTTTTTATTTCTTGATATAACATAAACTGCAATATTTTTATTCTCTTTTTAATGAATAATTTATTTAATAAAAAAAATTATGTATCGTATAGTAGATGGACTTTTTTCTGTTTTCTTTATCTAAATAAAACCATATCCACAAAATTAAAAATTTTTATTATTTATCATTTAATTCAGAAAAGTGAATGCAATCACTAATTTCACTCTTACAGAAAAAAAAAGTTTGGGAAAGCTAAAAGTTGCCCGTCTAGACGGGGTCTTCGTCAATGGAACTGTTTCACTATTACAAATTGTGGAGACATTCTCATCAGTTAAGACCTTCTTTTTGAGAGGCAATAACTTGAATGGGACAATTTCTACACAAGGTATGTGAATTTATTTTTTTTAAATTTTATTCAAGAAGGTAAGTGATAGTTTAATACTTTTGACTCCACTAAAATGTTATTCGCTTAACGTGATCTAATAAGCTAATACCTTTTGCAAATTACATTTCATTTTTTGCAGAGTTGCATGTGTCGAGCAAAGTTGAGGAATTATTGCTGGATAATTCATATCTCAACAATAACATTCTTCAAAACATTGGTGTATTACCTTCTCTTAAAGCCTTGTCTTTGTCGGGCTGTGGGCTGACTGGAACCTTACCGACTAAAGGTAAATTAATTATGGCATAGTTTTTATAAGGAAGACTAGGCAGTTTTTATCATTGATCTTTGACAGATTTCTTGATCACCTATCTTACTGAATGAATTTCTTCAGTTATATTTCCTCCTTAAATGTTTTTGATCCTCTTAAGCATGAATGAACATGAAATTTGAAATATCATACTTGAATTTGTTTTACAGGTTGGTGTGATTTACGGAATCTTGAGGCATTGGATCTTAGTGAAAATGCACTCGAAGGAACACTTCCGTCATGTTTGGGTAACTTATCATCTCTCCATTTTCTGGATATTTCCGACAATCGATTCACAGGAAATGCTGCCTCCACTTCTTTGGGCAATCTTACATTGCTTGGATACGTTGCTCTTTCAAAAAATCTGTTTCAAGTTCCCATTTTTTTCACATCATTTGCTAACCACTCACACCTCAAGGTCCTCTTAAGCGATCAAAACAAGTTAGTAAGAGAGCCTACTTCTCAAATTTGGATTCCAAAGTTCCAACTAAAAGTCTTCCGTATGTCAAATTGTACAACAAAGGAACCCCACAATGAACTTCCCAAATTCCTCCATTACCAATATGACTTGAGTATTGTTGATCTTTCATATAACAATTTTGGAGGAAAGATTCCTTCTTGGTTGTTAGTGAACAATACAAGATTAGAAGCATATTTAATGGCAGGAAATTCTTTTACGGGCCCTCTCCAGTTGCCTTTGCACCCTAATCCAACCATGTCCATTATTGATATATCTGACAACAAAATACAGGGTCAAATTCCAATGAACATTTGTTCAACTTTTCCATATTTAAGCGGGTTAAACTTATCTGGCAATACCCTTGAAGGTGGTATTCCTCCTTGTCTGGGTGGTTTGAACACTTGTTTACTTTTAGATCTGTCATATAATCATTTGTCCGGAGGAATACCAGAAGAGTTAGGTAAGAGTGACTCGTTATGGTTTCTTAGACTATCGAATAATAATTTAAGTGGGAAGATAGCCCCCACGATATTTAGCTTACCTTCATTATATCTTTTCCATTTAGATGGCAATAACTTTGTTGGAGAGATACCTAACATTGATATCTCAACCAGTATGGGTCCCCTTTCTGATATGGATTTGAGTAACAATAATTTGTCTGGCAAGCTCCCAAGATGGCTGCGGAATATGTCAGATTTGATGGCACTGGCTTTATCCAACAATCAGCTTGAGGGTCCCATTCCGATGGAATTGTGCTATTGGGATCACCTTGAGATTTTGGACCTTTCACAAAATAATTTTTCTGGCCCAATACCATCTTGCTTGGATGCACGATCCATCAGACATCTCCATTTGAGCAAAAATAGATTAACTGGTAACTTGGCAGGTGCATTCTTTAACAGCTATTCACTGGTGACTTTAGACCTTAGTGAAAACTATTTGACCGGTGAAATTCCATCTTGGCTTGGTAATCTTTCCGCTTTAAGTGTCCTTCTTCTGAAAGCCAATTATTTTACTGGGGGAATTCCCGTTCAGCTATGTGAATCATACTCATTAAGCATCATAGATCTTTCTCAAAACAAGCTTTCTGGTCCTATACCTTCTTGTTTAGGTAATTTAACTCTTGAGCCAAACGCTGGGAAGTCTTTCACAAAACCGTATTTCAGAGGTTCTGAACTGATACTCGAGGGAGCTGATTACTATGGAATGACAATATTTGAAAGGGATACTTCAAAAGGAATCGAAGCAATAGTTGTACCTTTGGCCGCTGAGAACTATATGGAAGTACGAGTGGATTATACAACAAAGGGAGGGTTTTACACATACAAAGGTAAGATTCTTGAATACATGTCTGGAATTGATTTATCATGCAACAGACTAACAGGTGAAATCCCTCTTGGGATTGGAAATTTGAGTGAAATCCATTCATTGAACCTGTCGCATAACAATTTGACTGGAGTTGTACCTTCAACATTCTCAAAGCTTAAGCAAATTGAGAGTTTGGATCTTTCTTACAACAACTTAATCGGAAGAATCCCTGTTCAATTGGTGGAGTTAAATGCTCTGGAGGTCTTCAACGTGTCATACAACAATTTGTCAGGGAGCATTCCAGATCAAAAAGCTCAGTTTGGGACCTTCGATGAAAGCAGTTACCTAGGGAATCGTTGTCTTTGTGGACCTCCATTGCATAAAAATTGCACCGAAACAGATACACCCTCAACAGTGCCATATGCCTCAAACGGGGAAGAAGAAGGCGGTTTGGTGGATAAGTATGTCTTCTATGTGAGCTTTTGGGTTTCTTACGCAATTGTTCTAATGGCAATTGCTGCCATCCTATACATAAATCCATATTGGCGACGAGCTTGGTTTTATTTCATTGGGCAATGCATTAACAGGTGGCCTTGTGCTTAGCTGGTTTACATTTCTGTATATTAGTTCTTTAGGTCTTTGAACTGTTACTCATAGTTTGGTTTGATCTGTTGTAAAGTTATTAAAGCTAGGCTAGAATGACTGATTTGTTCTCCAATAAGTGACGGTTCTTGAGAAAGCTCTATATTTTCACGCAATTTAGTTCAAAAGATTTAATTAGTGATAGAAAATTTTTATGAGATTACATGAGTTGTGAAAGATTCAACTTATTATAATAGGTGAAAACGAAATAAGTATCATACAAACATCATGAAATGCCTTAACGCATTTTAGTCCAGATGATTTAAACAAAAAGTAGGTACTCTACAAATAATATTTCTATAATCCTAAGTATTGAATCCATGTTACAAACTTTTTTCTGACCAATGAATAAACTTCCAAGAACAGGAGGTTACGAAAATTTCCCCCTTAGAACTCCATCTCTATTGAAGATAGGCAGGTACCAAATCTCAGAGGTTAATTCAAATAATTGTATATATTCTTGTAGGAACAATAGGAAATATTAAAAATATATTGTTAATTTTTTAATCGGCATGTAAAATATAAAAACTTCATTGACATATATAAAAATTAACCTCTTATTTTTAAATAAAAATTAAAAAGTATTTATTAAATAATAAAATAAGTGAAAAAAAAAAGTAGATCCATATAAATTCTCAGGTTGATGCTAAGTTAGCAATTCCCACTTTAAAGATGCTATAATGGAGCAGAATTTCTCACTAATCTCGTTTTGTTTTTTTGAGGCATAAGATAGTTTTATTAAGAAAAGACATGTTGATATGGGCCAGTTTATTGGGTCAAGTTTTGGACCTAATATTGGGTTGTTGCTCTCTCTTTCATGTACTGGACTTATATTGCACTTAAGGTCCGTTTCTTATCCAGGCCCCTATTGCCTTTTTTAGCGTTTGTTATTGTCGTTGCTGGTAAGGGGTGAGTGAAATTTTGCCCACCCGAGAATCTTGGAATGCAACTCGGGCTGTTAGTCCAACATAAAGGGACAGCCAGGGAGTCATGTAATTCAATCGGTTACGAAAATGGAAACAAGTTTTCTTCCTCTCTCTGTTTCTTCTTCTCTGCTTCTTGATCATCTATTTTCTTCTTCTGTTCTGTAAATTTCTGCTAAACAATATTAGTGCTGCAACACATGTACATAGATAATGATCAAGAAAGATAACTAACAAACAACATGGAAAAAAAAAAAAAAAAAGGAAGAAGCATTAAAAGAAACCCGAAAAGTGCTTGAGGTTTATGAGCACCGGATTTAGCTAAGCTACCAGCAATGGAGTTTTGCTTGATGGGAACACCCTTAAGCTAGACTTAGATCGATGTGGTTACAGCATTTCTTCAATCTCCATGGAATCAGTGAAACATCATTTGCTCATTGAACAGCACTACATAGGAATTATTGCCGATCAACAGTTACTAATTCAAATTAATCACATGGTGATAGATACGGCTGCTCTTATACATGGATGTTTCCTCTGTACACTATGCAATTTCTTCGAGGAACCTGTTATGAATTAACTCCAATCCTCTTCTTTTAAGCTTTTGAATGTTAAAAAAAATTAAGATCCTAAAGCTTTCTTTTCATTTTCCTCGCTTGCAGGTACATCTTCTTCGTCACACTTCTTAGCATTCCTGAATCAAGCTTCTCGGTGACTTTTAAAATGTTCGACCTTAACACTAATGGGTGGGTTAATTCTATCAAGTACCCAAACAAAAAAAAAAACCTTCAGAATGCTTTGCCATTTCTTACTTGATCATTTGTTGATGAAATGTTCACTTTAACAAAAAATAATCACAGTATCAATTTATATTATTAACAGAGAAATAGATAGGGACGAATCCAAGAAAGTGACGGCATTGATGCGAGGACAAAATAGACAAGGGGAACGCCACAGGGATGGACGAAGACTTTGCCTCAAAGTTACAGAGCCTGTAGAGAATTGGGGCTTGGTGGAGTGCTTCTTTGGTAGAGATGGCAAGACATGTCTAAAGCGCATGTCTAAAGCATGACACATTTGTCCAGTTTTTACGAGATTTACATGAATTATGTGACTCATTGTTTCTTTCCTCTATCTCAAAAATTAAACCCTATTCTCATTGGTAATTTCACCGTTAAACAGTATCTGATCAGATATCTTTTCACAATTTTATTTATGTAATTTTTCCTTGTTTCATTGCTTAATCGGGAAAAAAAAGTTTCAAATAGTTAGAAAAACTGCTACAGTAACATGCCTACTAGCTACGTTGATATGATTGAAAGCTAAAATCAAAATGACTTGATTTTGGTCCAGATTAGGCCTATGCTATTCAAAACATTACTGCGCCATATGTTTTCCAGATGATCTCAAGTTCTTAACACACTTTTTCTCTTCACTTTGGCTTACACCATTACATTTTTCAATATAATGTAGTCCAATGAATTGCTTGGTTATCATGGGTTAAACCAATGATGTAAAATATAAAACCAATGCTGCTGCCTTCGTAAGAAATGACACAATGAAGAAAAAACGAACGGAAAACAATTAAAAATTAACTTGGTTATTTTTGAAAGAGATTGTAAGATTTAGTAGTCATTACCAAATTTAATTTATAATTGAAAACATTGTGATAAAACAAAATATTTTATTTTCAATCTCATTGGTCATAATTTAATTTGTAGAAAATAATCAAGCATATCTATTCCGAAGCCTTGATAGAAACACACTAATATACCATCAAAATAAAATATAATTCAAGCTCTAGGAGGGTTATTGACTCCAAAGTTAAGATCTCAAATAATGTATTGTTGATTTATTATTATTATTATTATTATTATTATTATTATTATTATTATTGTTGTTGTTGTTGAAATTATTTTTATTTTCGTTGTCATAATTTTTGCATACTTAATTTTTATAAAAATTTAAGAAATGAGGGTATTTCCATTGATGACGTCAACATTCGAAGGATCATTTGTGATTTGTTGCTTAATTTTTTACAATAGATAAACGACTCATAAACGTCAATTTTGAAGCGTATGTGCATTATAATATCGATTCTTATCTTTAAACAGTATTCTCTAAACTTTTTTTTTTTTTTATAATTTGTTAGAATCATTTGTTGACAGCATAAAAAAGTAGTACACTCGTTGTAGAGGTTGAGAATAATGTTTTGCACTCGTTTGATTATAGTAGAGCCTTTAAGGACCTTGATTTTTAGTTTTCGGTTTGAAAGGTTTTCACCTGAAAAGTGTTTGTAAACTGTAATTGTTATTTGTGATTGATTTTGATTGATTTATAATTGCTGGAATTCTTTAATCTTTCGCCATTGTGATATCATAATTGTTGATTTATAAATTAAGAGAAAAAGAATTTCTGATTATATTTCTACGAATTTTCAGTGAGTTGTGTTTCTGATTGTGCTATCATGATTGTATTTCTTGGGTGGAAAACTGTAGGGAGGGTGGCTAACTTCATGGTTAGGGTTGACGCCAATGTCAAGATATATCTCATATCTAAATAATGCAATATCTTATGTTATAGTTGACGTATGGACCGGCTTGGTTTCCACCGTGAGAGTTTCTGCGTACTTTCTATCAAGAATTTTGTTGGATGCGGGCGGCCATATGGGTGTAATATTTCCTCCTGCCAGCTGTAGCCAGTGTAAACACTGACAAAACTTTACTTCCAATTTGTCCTGACTTTTTTAGTAATGTTCAAATCAATTAAACCCAAAACCAGAAAAAAAAAAAAAAGCAATCTCAAAACCAAACGAAACAAAATTACTAAGAAAATATAAAATCAAATCTTTTGCATATCAATTGGATAAAAAAAAACTAACACAAAAATTGTTACCTCCTGCCGTACCTGTGCATCATTCTTAATTGATTTTCGCTTTAAAAAAAAATCTTTTCTCTTTGAAGAAAATAAGAGAGAAAAAAAAAGTCGAAAGAAAACGAAAGGATATTAATTAATTATTATAAATATATTTTATATATGTCATTTCTTTTGAAATTGTCCTTCAAATTTATTTAATATTAAGTCAAAACCGTTTCAAATTAAGATGGGACAGCTTTTATATTATAATAATATATTTAGATGCATAGATGTGTGGATGTGATGTTATAGCTTGTACATGGACAGGTCTGATTTTCACCATCAGAGTTTCTACGTACTTTCCATCAAAAATTTTTTAGGAAGCCAGAAGCCCAGCCACCTGCTTGTTAAATTTTTGGTGCCAGCTGTATCCAATGGAATTTAACAATGTTGGAGTGGAAATAAATTAAGTCAATTTTCACGTTTCCTGGTGCATCCCTCGTTAATTAGGAATTAATTATTGAATTAAACTTTTTCTATAAAATGATTGTAAGAAATTATATATAATTTGGCAACAAATCAGATCAAGATAAATTTTTATTCGTTTCGAATATGATTCAATTTTATAATCATAAAATTTACACTCGTGCCTGATTTAATTTTTTTTAAATTTTTTTATATTCAAATATGATTCGAATTCGACATTGTATAATCATATCTGATCCGATTCAAAATTAATAAAATATTATTTTTTAAAATATAAAATATTATTTTTAAATATAAATATATAAATATATCTAAATAAAAAATTAAAAAATAATTTTTTATATAATATCGAATCGGATCGAGCTAAAATTCAACCTGATTCGATCTCAATTTTCACTTAATAATACCCGATTCAATCCTGATTTTTACTTAATAATACCCGATTTAATCTGATCTGAAACTCAATTTCAAAAAAAAAAAACCCTGACCCTATAGGGTCAGGTCGAATCGAATCGAAATTCATCCGATTCGGGGTTGGGCTACCAACCTTAATTGTATAACCTAAAAATTGAATTCTAAAATCAATCAATTGCATTAAACTTTTAAAGGTCACTTAAATGCTTATAAGAACTTGTTAAGGTTAGGTAAAATTTTATTTTAGGAACTAATTTTTTAATTTATAAAATGTTATTTTCACCATATCCGAAAAGAAATAATTTATTAAGAATTAATGGTAGCATATGTAAAAAAACGTGCTATTTATTAATCCTGTAAATTTTTTTGGCAATTATAGTTAAACATAGGGTTATATGTGAAAAAAAAATCCAAAGGGCAAATGTCGAAAACATTAATTATAGGTTTATGTAAAGTTTATCTTAAAAATAATAAAATAAAATAATATTATTTTTAAATAAATTAACTAAAAGGAATTTCTTTAATTTTGATATATTACTAATGTAACTTGTGATACAATTTTAGAATTTTTTTTGAAATTTTGGTAATTTGAGATATGATTATGATATAACTTTTGACATAATTTTGATATAATTGTGACAAAAAATCACTTTTAAGGATTCAGAAAACACTGTTTGTTGGCTATAAGGGAAATGATTAAACAATTGCTCTCTTTTGGGATCTTGTTATTGGAGTGAAAATGATGAAGAAATTCCAAGATTTTTTGTTTCATTTTTTATGAAATTGAAATTGAATCCATTTTGGAGCAAAAGCTTTCTCATCACTGTCATAACATCTAAATTCAGGGATCTATCGTTAAATATTGACTTAAGGGAGTCGCCATCAATCTTTTTTATCTAGTTGCGATTGGCCACCAAAGAATCTGTCCTTTCAGGGAACACCTAAGTTTAAGGGCCCCTAAAAGAATAGGTTCAGGTCTACTAACCAGAACAGAGTTCGGGAGTTCGATTACGTGTGAGAAAGGTTATAGCACCCTCACAACGCCCATCAAAAGATGGTATCAGTATAATTTTGTGTTATCTAATAAGCCTTAAAATTTTATCAAGTAATTAACTATTGGAAATTATTCTCAATTGACTCTAATACTTTTAGTAGAAAATTGAAAAAATTTCCTCACCTCAGGAGTATGCAAGAAACTACTGTTTCACTTGCAGAGGCTCCGTCGTCAGATTATTTAAAGAAAAAATGAAAATGAAAATCAGAATAAAAAGAAAGGAAATAATGATTATTTTTGTGCAGAGAAAATTGATACTTTCAACTTTTTCCATAAAATATTCTTTTGAAACTTTAATTTCGAGAAAAATTGATACTTTTAACTTTTCCTCCAAAATTTATTCTTTTGAAAATTTATTAAGGAAAATTGATACTTTCAACTTTTCCTCAAAAGTTGATTTATTTGAAAATTTATTTTTAAGGAAAATTGATATTTTCAACTTTTCTCCAAAAATATTTTTTGGAAACTTTGATTTTCAAGGAAAATTGATACTTTCAACTTTTCCTCAAAATCTTTTTTTTTTGAAAATTTATTTTTAAGAAAAATTGATACTTTCAACTTTTCCTCAAAAACATTTTTTTGAAAACTTTAATTTCGAAAAAAATTGATACTTTCAACTTTTCCTCAAAAATTGTTTTAAAAATTTATTTTTAAGGAAAATTGATACTTTCAACTTTTCTCTAAAAATATTTTTTTAAAAACTTATTTTCAAGGAAAATTGATATTTTCAACTTTTTCCCAAAAATATATTTTTTCCTTGAAATTACTATTTTTATTATTAACCAATGTTTTTAAATCATGAAAACATAAAATAAAATGAGTGAATAAATGACATGCTACAACCAAAAAAATCAAAACGGGAAAGAAAATATCTTACCAAAAATTGAGCTTAATTCCGGATCAAAACCAATTTAAGTCAACTTTCTGAATCAAACCTAAATTATTTCTTGAATGGGTTCCAACTCAAGGCTCTGGTTTTAATTAATGAATGGCTCGGGTTTAAAGTCTTGGGTGAGCCTGTCTTGAAGCTGGTTTTGCTAACTATATTCCTCTCTACCATCACAAACATAGGATAGGCAGCTGCCTTTCTTCGAATAAATGTAGAGATGTCTGGTGCTAACATCAATTCTGGCGGTGACACACGAACAGTCTCCACGTCCTTCTGAGCAAAGGGTGGCAGCAACTGACTGTTTTCAGAAAAATGGAAAATGGCATTGGCAAGCCAGGTGGGAGTCGGAATAAAGGTTGCTGCTGTGGAGGAAGACCATTTGTTGACCCGTAGTAACCTTGCCAATATATAAGCATGGAAAGCCCACCGTTTGTGGTTGGAGCAGATGATGGCTTCCAGCCACCAGCCTTGGCACTTTCCCAAAGTTCTTCTGCATTGATCTCAGAAGGCTGGAGAAATCCACCAATTGTAGCCGAAAATAAAAGCGAGAGTGTGCAGATCAAAAGTACCACGACAACAATCGCGAGCTTGGCGTAAATTCCCTTTAATTCTCCTTTTCCTCCTTGCCTCACATGCTGCCTATGCAGCCCCAACCTCCGCATGGTTAGAAAAGGAAAATGTTCTTTCAGATCTAGAGATATTACTGTTTTTCTGCGTTTCTCTAGTTGTGAGGGTGGTCGGTACTGTGTCATTAACCGAATCAATACCAGCCTGAGGCATTGCCATGGTTGTGATTGTGCTACAAACGCTGGTGATTTGAACAAATAACTGCTAGCAGCACGGTTTGATGCACAACTGATAGTATATGACCGAAAGGTAAATGTGGAAACCTAACCTTGAGAACTATTATCAGAATGGGAAGCCATCTGCTGGAGTTGCTTTGAAGAATGCGATGCTTCTATCAAGTGCACCATTTGCTCTCCTTTTGCATCAGCTTGGTTGCCAGGGGCCATGCTAAGGCCATTCAGATGAGCAAGTTTCAACAGAAAGGTTCTGATGCATCGGCATATTTCTTCTTTCTATTTCGTAATGAAAGGAAATCCAGATAGGTTCCGATTGGCATAGAAGTCAGGAATAGAAGAAAAAATTGCAAGCCCCCTTTGCTAGGCCAGACGACTTAAACACAGCAGTCTGATTTCGAACTCCAACAACTGCATGGGACAAAGGAAGGCTCAGCGGGATGAAACCAATAAAAAGACTTGGAGCGCCCAATACATAAAGTACGTTCGAACGGAAGCCTGTCGTCACTAGATGGTTTTCGTATGAACATATGATTACAGAAATGGACGATGGCCTCCGACTCTGAACCTTGGTGCCGACTCTGAACCTTGGTGAGATGATAGGACTGAGTCTAGCTTCAGGCTGGAAGGTTCGAAAGACACTCGACTGAAAAGAGAGGGATGAAGCAAGGCGAAAAAAAGAAGGAATGAAATGACTCCAGCGTAAGCGAGAAGGGATCACCACCAAAAGCTTATCCAACTTAAACTCCAGCAGGAACTGGCCTTAGGACGATGGCAGAAATCGGGATGGCTGGGAAAAAAACGTATCACAGGCTTGGTGAAACTGCCTCTCTCAAAGTTGCTATATTGGACTCCTATGCTTCTCTTAAAGCAGCTATCCGTCTTGTCATCCTCTGATGGTTGTTTCCCACCAATTAGAGGCCTTGAGGGCCTAGTGGCGACGGGGCTTCCCCCTTTTGTTTTTCTTCTGTTTTTCTTTTTCTTTCCCCCTCTCCTATTCGGATTCTTCTTCTATCTTTCCTCTGTTTTTTTTCTTTTTTTCTCTCCTCCTCCAGCTTGTATATTCATTGTTGATATATAGACCTCAGAGTTTAAATTCAATTCCAATTAGTCATCCAATGTTAAAGATTAGCATCTAGATAACAATCATCACAATCACCAAGCTTTCAACCTTTTTTTTTATCAGATAATAATAAAAAAAAAAAAAATAAATCATAAAAAATAAAAATAAAATTAATAAATATGAAATAAAAAAAATCTAAAACAAAAATGAAAAAATCTTTGCAAATGAACTAAGATTAATCTCAATTGAGAAAAGATTTCGGAGAAAATAGGGTGTTTACAACCACCACAACCCTTAACAGTAGCCAATACTTCCTCCTCCAAGAAACGAATTTCAAGTTCTTGCACTGGGCTTGATGATAGCATTTTAATGTCTGAAGCAGAGAATTTAAGGAAAAAGCCCTGTATCTTTCCTGATGAGCTTCTCGAAATGGCATTCCATTCCTTGCTTGTTTGCTCCTATACAGTAAATATGGCTCGAAAAATTGTTTATTCATCTGCTATTTGGGATGCAGTAGAAGAACTTAGTGTTCTTAACCCCTTCTTGCATCCATTGTTGTCCCACTTTCTTTTTACTTTGAAGGTGTTACAAATTTTTTATTTTGAATGAAATAATTATTTGAGTTAAATTTTTAATTTGGATGTAAGAAATTTTCTTATACAAATGTAAGAGGTAAAAACTAATCGATGAAATTTATTATTTTCATCATTGATTTAAATTTTTTGTTTTTAATTAAAAAATTTTAAATTTATTAGTTGCAATTTCTAAAATATTTTTCTGTAATCCATCAATTACTTAAACGGTTGTAAAAAGGCATATCACATGTATGTCACATGGTTAAGGGCAGGTGACGTTGGCCATTGGTCATGTGAGATATACATCATAGACATTCACGTTTTAATAATAGCTCAAGCGAGAGTTCATTTCATCGTTGACGTTAAAGTCAAGGTCTCTTCGAAAAGACGTTTGTGCGTCTGACTGATCGTGGTAATAGGTAATTTCCACAGAAGCTGCAAAGGGGCAGAATTTCACATTATATTTGAAATCTTTTGGTTTATCAGCATATCTGAAGAGCTTTTTACGTTTGGATCCGGAGAGGGAGGATTTTGACATTGATAACTCTGCCGACACATAATGTAGGCAAAAGAAAAAATAATAATTTTTGGTTGACAACTAATATCACGAGCCACACACAATGCAAGATGTGAAGCTTACATGGACCGCCGCACTTTCTGCATATTTTATTAATTTCAACAAGGATTTGTGGAAATTTTTTTCTCGGTGCAGGTGTAATTATTAGAGACGGAATTTGACAATCATGTAGTCCTAATAATGAAATTAGCTCAGACTTTCAAGTTTTGAGTTTCTACATTTATTTAATAATTTATATATTTATGTCATATAAAATATTAAAATTTATATATTTATATTATATTTTATATAAAAATTATATATTATAATTTATGTTAACAAAAAATTTTAAATATATATTTTTATTATATTAAATTTATATATAATTGTTGTTAAAATTTTAAATTATACTTCATAGGCTTTAATCTTTAACAACTATTTTTTGGAGGCTGTAAATGATTAAGATGTTTTTAAATCTTTTTTTTTTAAATTAATATTAAATTTTCTATACAAAAAGTTCGAAGTGAGGGAGGCTTTTTCAATCTAAAATCAAGACAAAGCGTAGGTTTCAAAAGGGCATTGCATTAAATTTGCCGACCGCCCAATAAAAAAGATTGTAGGAAGTGAGATTCAAATTTTCATACTGTTTTAAGTTAGGGAAAAAGTCAAATTTATCATTGATTAGGGACCCCATATATACTGTTTTATTTTTTATTTATATTTTTGAAACTATGGTTAAATTTAAAGTGAAGATCAATTATGAATTTGATATGTTTTGATTTCAAATTTTAAGCAAAATTTTCCATCATTGAAAGATTTTGATTTTAAATATAAATAATTTATTAATAAAGTTATTTGATAAATAATATAATTTAAATATTGTTTTCCTTGTCAAAAAATAAGTTGTCAATGTGAGTATTTATGTCAGCTTTCTCAAATGATAAGCTCCTACCTTATTATATAATATATAGGTTATATTTGATGGATATTATATAGGATGATATTTATAATAAGATAATAATTATTTTATATTATATTTTATTTTTAGACAAAAAGAGGAATAGGATTTTAAAGAAGATTAATTATCTTTTGATATAAGGTGATTCAATCTTCCTAAAATAGATAAAATTATTTTTAATTTATATGATTGAACTTATATCATGTTATACCTTCAAAAGTACATTAATAATTTAAATTATATATGCTTTAAAAAAGAATAATTTTATTCAAAAAATAAAATTATATTATTCTAATCCTAATGCACATTAAATACAAGACAAAATGATATTATTTAATTTAATTATCTTCATAATATCATTTTATTCTATTTTATTTATAATTTTGAATACTAAACATGTCATACAAATATATATTTATGCAAACTAATAAAAGCAAAAACTGTGCAAACAACAATAGACCACAGTAACTTTTCAAAATAAACAATATTGACAATTTAAGACGGACCGGTTAGAGCAAAAGTCAATTAACAAGTGGGGTCCATGTTGGGAAATATTCGGTATATTCAGGTTCCTTCTTGAGTACAAAGCCCGGCCGAGGGGTCATTGTTACCAAATGCATAGAGGTATAAGCAGTTGAGTGATTTTGATCATACTGAGATGATGAAGCCTAAAAGGTTGTGGATAATACTGACGATACTGTTATTCATAGAAGGGTGGTGTGAGACTGAGGGGTGCTGGTAGTACGAGAGAATTGCTCTTTTGCAACTGAAACCTTTCTTCAATGATCCCCACTCTTTGAGCAACTGGGTGGATGTGAAGGGTTCGAATTGTTGTAAATGGAATGGGGTTGAGTGCAGCATCACCAGTAGACGAGTCATAGGACTCTCTCTTAATTTTACAAGACAATGGAAATCGGGAGGTCTTTGGTATCTCAATGCCTCTTTATTTCTCCCCTTTCAGGAATTGAAGAGTCTGTATTTGGGAGGGAATCAAATAGCTGATTTTGTTCACAACGAAAGTTTGTTGCCTTTCATCTCTTTGATTGATTTATCTCTGCTTAACGAAAATTCAGGTCACTGATTTTTTTCTTTTCAAATTATTATTATTATTATTATTATTATTATTATTTTGCTTCTTTTTGACTTACAAAATTAAGCCACCTATGACCAAGAACTCTCTTGCAGTAACTTTATCATCTGCACTAAGCAATTTGGAAATCCTCGACTTATCTGATAATTTCTTCAATGACAGTATCTTCTCATCTTCAATTGAGCTTTCATCTCTCAATCAGTCTCTATATCTAGCAGGCAATTATAAATTCAAAGCCATACACTAATGGAAAACATTTTTATACATGTATATAATATTATATATAATGTCTTTTTTTAAAATTATATTGATTGATTTTATGGTAGTGATAAGTGATAAGAAATCACAACATTTCAATACCAAAAAAAAAAAAAAAACTGATATTGCTATGTTTGGCGGCATGAATTTTGGAGGATGAATTTGGATTTGGTTTGTTGTGTTAGTTTTATCTAAAAAGTTTAGCTAAGATTCAAAGCGCGCGCATTATATATATATATATATATTATAAAGTTATAAATATATAAATTTTAATTTCTTTAAATTAAGGTATTTCAAATCTATCATTAAATAAATATCTAGCAAATCTATGGCTTAAAAATAATTAAAAATTATAAAATTCTTGAATATTAGATGCAATCAATTGCCACTTTGAGTTTATGTTTAATAAATTGTTAATTAGTGTATAAATTTTATATATTGTCATTAAATAAATTGATGTCATCTCATTAATAAATTAATAAAATTAGATAATATTACCTAATTAATTAATGAGTAAGTGTTTAAAAAATATTAATTTTTTATATATTTATTTTAAGAGTTGATATTTATTTATTAATGAGATGTTATCATCTTTCACTAACAATGTTCAAAATCTATACACTATATCAATCTTGCCACTTTTATATTAAAAATTTGAAATCTAAATCTTTTTCCAAATTCAATTTTTAAATGCAATCTAAGGCTTCTTATTCTATTTTAAATGGCTTTCATCTTAAGACTCTTGATTTAAGTAATTATAATTATTTTTGATGATGTGGGTAGTGTTTCGTTAAAGTCAATTCTTATTATTTTAAAAGCTTTTTTAATTTATTTTTAATAGGATTTAAACGTATATTTCATTGCTCTTGAGTATAATTGAACAGTTTAACAAACTTGAAAATCTTGGATTTAAGCTTCAATTGTATCGAAAGCCTCCAGTATTTTCAAGGTAAGAATTGATATTATGCATTCAATTAAATTCTCAAGTCGTCCATAGATAAAAGGTTAGTGTTATGCTGCTTGTCCCAACACTTTTACCCCAATTATTTGTTCTTCCTACTATGCTATATGTAACTATTGGATCAACTCAAAAATGGGATCAATCAATTTATGAGTAAGTCAACTAATTTGTGAATTTGACATTAAAGTCATATCTATGAATTTTTACTGATAAAATTGTTGGGACAAATAATCTATATTTAAAAGTTATACAATTAAATTTTCAATGAAATCACATGATCTTCTACAGGTAAGAAAACAGAACAAATGATCAATTTGGTGGTACTTGATTTGAGTTATAATCTCTTGAAGAATACTACTTTAGCATACCTTAGTGGGCTGTCAAGTCTAAAGTCCTTGAGTGTTAAAGGAAACCAATTGCAAGGATCAATTGATATTAAAGGTACGTAGAAGTTCATCAAACAAAACAAGGGTACGTAAAATACTATTTCGTAATCTTTTTTTTAACCGTTAAAAAAACTTTAATATTGGAATTAAGATTATGTTCCAATGGGGGATTTAATTTGTGGAGAATTGAACTAAGAAAACTGTTTATTTATTTGTTCTATGCACGACTTGCTTTGCTTCATGGTCTCTTTTGTTTATTTTTTCAGTAAAGTCACAAATTAATGAATTATATTGAAAGAAAGCTTGCCCCCTCATGTACTGTAATTTTGTGGTAATTACCTAACTGGACTGACATAAAGAGTATTTGATTGATTTGGATAGTATTGAATAGTTTGGCAATGTTGAAGAAGTTGGATATGAGCGACAACGAACTTCAGAGCCTCCGATCTTCCCATCGTATGTATTGATATCAACTTGTAGTTTGGGAATAAAGAAAATCGGTATTGAAAATTAAATTTTAAATTTATTGAATATCATATCTTAATGATAATTAAATAAATCAATTGAGATTAAATTTCAGTTTAAATTCAAATACATATATATATATATCGGTAAAATATTTATTGGTAATAAATTTAATTATTTAAATGTTTTGTAAATGGTGAGAGACAACTTAAGTTGATCAATTTAGAAGAGCTTGATTTGAGTTGAAACTCTTTCAGTAACAACATATTGGCACTGCTTGGTGGGCTTCCGAATCTAAAATCTTTGAATATAAGAGAAACCAGCTTAAAGGATCAATCAATGTTAAAGGTAGAATTACATATATTTTTAATCTTTCATAAACAATCAAAGTAATTCTTGAGTTATTACATTTACTTATCTGTGTGATTTAATTTAAATTTATTTGTAAATCTTTACAAAACTAGATGCTTTGAATGACTTAAAGGAGCTAAACATCAATTATAATGCTTTGAACAAATTTGTGGCCCCTTAACATAAAGGTATTTCAAAATTTTATTAACTATTTTAGGTCATTGTTAGATATGTTCCCAGACCAATTTTTGAACATGAGTTTTGAAATTTGGATTTGGCTTGCCTTGATCCAAAATTTTATTTAATTTTAATTTTAATTTTAAAATATATTTTAAAATAGTAAAATATTAATTTTAAAAAATATTTTAATATATTTTTAAAAAATATATGATTTTTGGGTTGACATACCAAATCATGATTAAAATTTTTGAATGACTAATCAAGTTTGGTTCAACCCATAAACAAATTTAGTCATAATTATAATATGTTTATCATTAGATTTTTTGGTGGAAGAAATCTTTTAGTTTGTAATTGTTTAGATGGTAGCTAATATAAGATGATGCTTCCAAGACCGAGTGAATTTTTTTAATTCATGTAAAGTTATGAAGATAACTTTATAATCTCATTATAAACCTCAAACTCTCCTCCTAAGATTTTAGGGGTTTCTTCTTGAGAACTTTCAAAGAAGGAAAAATCATACGGAGAATTGAGAAAGTAATTCAATCATGCATATTTGGGAAACTATGGAATAAAAACATACAAAATTTAGGACTTATTAATTACCTGACAAGTCACTGAAATTTAACTTTTGGTTTGATTGCTATATTCGTTGGAAGTATGGTGTTTCAATTCTTTATAAACATGATTCTAATTAAACAATTAAAATTTTCTATTGTAGATGGTATTTTAAAACTCAAAACTACTTAAAAGATCAAAATTTAGAAAATATTCTTTTAGTAAATTTGTTGAAGTTCTACACTAAAAAATAAAAACTATTAAATATAAAATATGATCGAAAATCAAATGCAAAACATTGATAGAGTTTTTTTTTTTTTTTTAAATAAATCAAGTATATAAAATTTAAGTAGTTAATTAGATTGAGAGGTTGACTATTGTCAAATGCCCATTTAGTTATTATATTAAGAAAATCTGTCCAATAACTTGCTTTTATGGACAACCTGGCAATTCGTTAGTTTTGTTGTTAATTTGTTTATTTGACTTTTATATTGATTTCTTTTACTTAATTCTACAAATCATAATTTAATTTATATATATGTATGTAATTTCTTAAAAAAAATTCAATTGTTTATGCCTATTTTTTCTCTCTTTGGTATTATTGTACTTTTAATTGCTTTTCTTACTTTTGTTTTTTTTTTTATTTCTTGACATCACATAAACTGAAATATTTTTATTCTTTTTTTAATGAGTAACTTATTTAATAAAAAAATGTATGTATCACATAGTAGCTGTACTATATTTTGTGGTAATTACCTAACTGGACTGACATAAAGAGTACTTGATTGATTTGGATAGTATTGAATAGTTTGGCAAAGTTGGAGAAGTTGGATATGAGCGACAACGAACTTGAGAGCCTCATATCTTCCCATGGTATGTATCGATATTTTACTTTCTTAACTTGTAGTTTGATAAAAGAGAAAATTTTAACAAATTTAAATTTTAAAATTTAAATTTATTAAATATCATATTTTAAAAATAATTAAATTTATTAATTGATATATATCGGTAAAACTTTTATTGGTAATAAATTTAATTATCTAAATCTTTTGTAGATGGTGAGAGGCACCTTAAGTTGATCAATTTAAAAGAACTTGATTTGAGTTGGAACTCCTTCAATAACAGCATATTGGCAGTGTTTGGTGAGCTTCCGAATCTTAAGTCTTTAAATATAAAAAATAACTAATTTAAAGGATCGATCGATAGTAAAGGTAGAACTATATATATTTTAGTCTTTCTTAAACAATCAAAGTAATTCTTGAGTTATCACATTGACTTAGAGAACATATTTTACTTATCTGTGTGATTTAATCTAAATTTATTTGTAAATCTTCACAGAGCTAGATGCTTTGAATGACTTAAATGAGCTAAACATCAGCTATAATGCAGTGAACAAATTTGTGACCCCTAAAAATAAATTTATTTCAAATTTTTAATATATAACTATTTGAGGTGATAATTAGATCCGTTTCCGAACCAAATTTTGAACATGAGTTTTGAAATTTGGATTTAGCTTGCTTTGATCCGAAATTTTATTTAATTTTAATTTTAAAATATATTTAAAAATAATAATTTTTTAAATTTTTAATTTTTTAAAAATATTTTAATATAATGTTAAAAAATATATGATTTTAAGTTAATGTATCAAGTCATAATGTTAAAAATCACAATTTAATTTATATATATGTAATTTCTTAAAAAAATTCAATTGTTTATGCCTATTTTTTTCTCTTTGGTATTGTTGTACTTTTAATTGCTTTTCTTACCTTTTTTTTTTAATTTCTTGACATAACATAAGCAGCAATATTTTTATTCTCCTTCTGATGAGTAATTTATTTAATAAAAAATTTATGTATCATATAACAGATGTACTTTTTTTTTCTGTTTTCTTTATCTAAATAAAATCTTGTCCATAAAATTTGACAATTTTATTATTTATCATCTAATTCTGAAAGCTAAATGATATCAATAATTTCACTCTTACAGAAAATAAAAGTTTGGGAAAGCTAAAAGTTGCTTATTTAGACGGGGCGTTCATCAATGGAACTGCTTCACTACTAAAAATTGTTGAGACATTCTCATCAGTCAAGACCCTCTTTTTAAGACGCAATAACTTGAACGACACTATTTCTACACAAGGTATGTGATTTTTTTTTTTTCTGTTCAAGAAGGCAAGTGATAGTTTAATACTTTTAATATACTAAAATTTTATTCGCTTAACGTGATCTGATAAGGTAATGCTTCTTGCAAATTTACATCTCATTTTTTGCAGAGTTGCATGTATCGAGCAAAGTTGAGGAATTATTGCTGGATAATTCATATCTCAATAACAACATTCTTCAAAGCATTGGTGTATTTGCTTCTCTTAAAACTTTGTCATTGTCTGGATGTGGATTGATTGGAACCTTACCTACTAAAGGTAAATTAATTATGACATAATTTTATAAAGGAAGATTAGGCAATTTTTATCATTGATCTTTGACAGATTTCTTGATCACCTATCTTACTGAATAAATTTCTTTAGTTATATTTCCTCCTTAAATGTTTTTGATCCTCTTAAACATAAATGAACGTGAAATTTGAAATATCATACATGGATTTGTTTTACAGGCTGGTGTGATTTACGGAATCTTGAGGCGTTGGATCTTAGTGAAAATGCACTTGAAGGAACACTTCCTTCATGTTTGGGTAACTTATCATCTCTCCGTTATCTGGATATTTCCGACAATCGATTTACTGAAAATGATGCCTCCACTTCTCTGGGCAATCTTACATTGCTTAGATTCGTTGCTCTTTCAAAAAATCTATTTCAAGTTCCGGCTTTTTTCATATCATTTGCAAACCATTCACACCTCAAGGTCCTCTCAAGCAATCAAAACAAGTTAGTAAAAGAGCCTCCCTCTCAAACTTGGATTCCAAAGTTCCAACTAAGAGTCTTCCGTATGTCAAATTGTACAACAAAGGAACTCCACAATGAACTTCCCAAATTCCTCCATTACCAATATGACTTGAGTATTGTTGATCTTTCATATAACAATTTTGGAGGAAAGATTCCTTCTTGGTTGTTGGTGAACAATACAAGATTAGAAGAATATTTAATGGCAGGAAATTCTTTTATGGGCCCTCTCCAGTTGCCTTTACACCCAAATTCAAACATGTCCATTATTGATATATCTGACAACAAAATACAGGGTCAAATTCCAACGAATATTTGTTCAACTTTTCCACATTTAAGCGGGTTAAACTTATCTGGCAATACCTTTGAAGGTAATATTCCTCCTTGTCTGGGTGTTTTGGCCATTTTAGATCTGTCATATAATAATTTGTCCGGAGGAATACCAGAAGAGTTTGCAAAGAGTGACTTGTTATGGTTTCTTAGACTGTCGAATAATAATTTGAGTGGGAAGATAGCCCCCACGATATTTAGCTTATATTCATTACAAATGTTATATTTAGATAGCAATAACTTTGATGGAGAGATACCTAGTATTGATATCTCAACCAGTATACGTACCCTTGTTGTAATGGATTTAAGTAACAACAATTTGTCTGGCAAGCTCCCAAGATGGATATGGAATATGTCAGATTTGATGGCATTGGCTTTATCCAACAATCAGCTTGAGGGTCCCATTCCGATGGAATTGTGCTATTTGGATCGCCTTCAGATTTTTGACGTTTCACAAAATAATTTTTCTGGCCCACTACCATCTTGCTTGGATGCACGATTTGTCAGACATCTTCATTTGAGCAAAAATAGATTAACTGGTAACTTGGCAGGTGTATTCTTTAACAGCTCTTCACTGGTGACTTTAGACCTTAGTGAAAACTATTTGACCGGTGAAATTCCATCTTGGCTTGGTACTCTTTCAGCTTTGAGTGTCCTTCTTCTGAAAGCCAATTATTTGATTGGGGGAATTCCGGTTCAGCTATGTGAATCATACTCATTAAGCATCATAGATCTTTCTCAAAACAAGCTTTCTGGTCCTATACCTTCTTGTTTGGGTAATTTAACTCTTGAGCCAAACGCTGGGAAGTCTTTAACAGAGACGGCAACTCTCTATTTAGGTTCGACATTGGCGGGAGCTGATTATTATGGAATGACAATATTTGAAAGGGATAATTTAAAACCATTTGACGCAATCGATGTATCTTTGATCGGTGAGAATCATATGGAAGAACGGGTGGATTATACAACAAAGAGTGGTTTTTACACATACAAAGGTAAGATTCTTGAGTACATGTCTGGAATCGATTTGTCCTGCAACAGACTAACAGGTGAAATCCCCTTTGAGATTGGAAATTTGAGTGACATCCGTTCATTAAACTTGTCGCATAACAATTTGACTGGAGTTGTACCCTCAACATTCTCGAAGCTTAAGCAGATTGAGAGTTTGGACCTATCTCACAACAAGTTAAACGGAAGAATCCCTGTTCAATTGATTGAGTTAAATGCTCTAGAGGTCTTCAACGTGTCATACAACAATTTGTCAGGGAGCATTCCAGATCAAAAAGCTCAGTTTGGGACCTTCGATGAAAACAGTTACCTAGGGAATCCTTTTCTTTGTGGACCTCCATTACATAAAAATTGCCCCGAAACAGATTCACCCGCAACAATGCCATTTGCCTCAAACGGGGAAGAAGAAGGCGGTTTGATGGATGAGTATGTCTTTTATGTGAGCTTTTGGGTTTCTTACGCAATTGTTTTAATGGCAATTGCTACCATCCTGTACATAAATCCATATTGGCGACGAGCTTGGTTTTATTTCATTGGGAAATGTATCAACACTTAGCCTTGTTCTTTGCTGGTTTTAGATTTCTATATATTGGTTCTTTAGGTCTTTGATCTATTACCTCATAGTTTGGTTTGGTGAGTTGTAAAGTTATTAAAGCTAGGCTGGAATGCCTGATTTGTTCTCCAATAAGTGACGGTTAACTTGAGAAAACTATATTTTCATACAATTTAGTTTAAAAGATTTATTTAGTGATCGAAAATTTTTATTAAATTTCCGCCAATATCCTAAAAGTATGTTAATTTCAACTTAATGAAGTATATATGTTTCCTTTTCCATGAGATTACATGAAGGGGAAGGATAGATCCTAATTATTACGAGGATCTTGTGAAAGCAAAATATAGTAAAAAGGAAAATAAGAATAAATTACATCATACATTCATGATTTTTATGTAATATTTTATTTTCATTCATAATTTTTAAAATTCAAAATTTTCATCATGATTTTTTAAACCTATAAATTCATCCATTTCACTATTTGTCAATTTTTTAAATTTAAATTTACATCGTATGAATATTTACGTGAAATTGTTGTGACGAATTCCATTGAAAATTTAACAATTATTGATGGTAATCAATTTGGAACATCAATAAAACATTTTAGATGAAAAAAAATAAATTTTAAATATCATAAATGAAAATAAAATATTATACAAAAATAACTAAATGCCTAATGCATTTTACTCAAAATGATTTAAACAAAAAGAAGGTACTCTACAAATTATCTAGATATAATCCTAAGCATTGAATCCATGTTATTAACTTTTTTTTTTCTGATCAATTATTAAACTACCAAGAATTACATAAAATTTTCCCTTAAAATTCCATCTCTATTGAAGATAAACAGGTATCAAATCTCATAGGTTAATACAATTACTTATACATATTTTTGTAGGAACAATAGGAAGTATTAAAAATAATTAAAAATATATTTGTTAATTTTTTAATCTCGCATATAAAATATAAAAACTTCATTGACATGTATAAAAATTAACCTCTTATTTTTAAATAAAAATAAAAAATATTTATTAAATAATAAAATAAGTGAAAAAAAAGTAGATCCATATAAACTTTCAAGGTTGATGCTAAGTTAGCAGTTCCCACCTTAAGAAGCTACAATGGAAGTGGAGTGACATACAAAACCGCTGGACTTCTGATTTTCTAACCTCATAAATTCTAGTTTTTTTCCTTGTGCACACAAGTAATGGATCACAAATTCTTTTTTGGAGTGACAGATGGCTAAATGGTCTAATCTTGAAAGAGAAGTTCGCAAGAATCTATGCTTTGGCAGAAAAAAAAATGGGCTGGTAAATGAATTTAGTGAATGGAATGGAAATGTATGGAACTGGAACATACCCCTCAGGCGTCAAGTTTTTGATTGGGAAAGGATATTCTTGAAAAGTTTATGATTCTACTAAACTCTCTCGAAGGAAGTTCAGGAAAGAATTATGGTCTCACGCTACCAACGGGGTCTACAGGCCTAAATCTTTCAGAGCTGAAATATTGAAGCTCGACAATGCTCTAAGTCCAACAGAGAGTCGGATATGGAAAAGGATAGCACCGCCAAAAGTCAAGATTTTTTGCTGGAACGCACTGAGAGGAAGCATTCCTGTATTGGAAGTACTCCATGCAAGAGTTTGTTTGAACTGTTAGGATTTGCCTTAAATCTCATAATCTCATATCGAAAATTATAAGAATTTTGAGTTTATCTTATATCCCAAATCGAGAGTTTAATAAAAATATAAAGAATTTCACCCTTATAAATAAAATATTTTGATTTTAGTTTAATAATCCTAAATAGTTAGTTACCAAGAGAATAGTTAAGTGAGTAGGCTATTAAAGGATATAATTGGGTTTTGGGTTAAGTTTTGAGTAAGGAGTTTTTAGTGATTTTTTTAATTCCAAAAGTTTTACAGTTGTAAAGATTTATTTATTAGTAGATTGGGTTTGGAGTAGGCCATTTATTTGCTAGTGGATTGAGTTTGAAGTAGATCATTTTGAGTTAGCCGAAATAAATATATTTGTGTGTTCTTATTCTTAATTTGAGCTTGTTATTTTATTCGTGGATGCTGGGTGTGCGTGTTGATTTCTTAACAAATGGTATCAGAGTGAAGGTTTAAGGTTTTAAGGTTCGTGAAAAGAAGAGGCAAGCCTAACAGATCGTAGAGCAAGTGTTTCAAGATGTTTGAAAAATGTATGTCTAGTATACCTATGTCTAAGTTTAAGATTCGTTATTTGATGGAAAGAGTAATTTTATGTTATGATAAAATATGATTCAAGATCTGTTAGTACAACAAGAGTTGGATCAAGCATTAGCGAAGTAATAAGCTTGTAGGAATGTCTGACAGTAATTAGAATAGAATTCAGAAGAAAGCTATTAGTACTATTAGATTGGCACTAGCCCTAGGGGTAAAGTATAGTAAGTTGATTGAGAGTACTCTAAAGAGTTTATGGGATAAGCTTAAGGTTATTTATGCATCAAAGTCATTAACTAATAGATTATGTTTGAAGATAGATCTATATTTTCTGAAGATGAAAAAATGTATGAGTCTTCATAATAACATGAATAAGTTTAATAGATTGGTTTCTCAATTGCTGGTGATTTCTGTTGATGAGTTAGAAAATGAAGTCATCTTTGCCCAAGTCTTATAAGGCCTTTAGTTTAGACTTTGTTGGTAGGTAGGTTTACTTTGAAGTTAGATGATGTAACTGCCATGTTGTGTGAGAACGAAAGGTTTATAGGAACACAGAACTCATCACCTCTACACTAGTTGTAGAGTGTTTTGATTAAAGGAGGACTAAAAAGAGGATTGATGGATTAAGAAAGAGATCCAAGTCAAGAGACAAAGATTATAGTAATATAGAATGTTATTATTGTGGTAAAAAGAAACAAATCCAAATGGGGTGCAAGGAATATTATTGCTTTCAAAAAGACAATAATGAAAAAAACATCAAATGAAAAAAAAAAAGTGATACTGCTACTGTTGTGTCTGATGATGATGATGTCGTTTCTACAATTTGTGCAGATGAGACTCAGACTTTGAAAAGTGATAAGGGTTGAGTTTTAGATTCAGCTGCTACAGTTCATGTCTACAATGACAAGAGTTGTTTTATGGAGTTGGATGAGAATGAGAAGTATGAGGATATTATGGTTGCTAACAATGAAAAGTACAGATTCAAGGCATTGGGAGTGTTCGCCTTAGATTTCACAATGGTGCTAGTAAGATGCTTCATCATGTAAGGTATATACCGAGTTATAGCTATAATTTGATTACTTTAGGTGAGTTAGCTTATCAGGAGTATATATATTATGGCAGTAATGATTGATTGAAAGTGTACAAGAATGGTAATATGATTCTACAAGGGAATATGGTTAAAAATAACTTGTACATACTTGATGGAGTCTCAGTTGCTGAGATTCTTGTGATGAAAAAAAAGAAGAAAGACAAGCGTGCCAGCTTTGCAGATATTATTAAAGTGTTTGGATATTCATGTTAAGGGAGAATTTATTGGGATTTGCCTTAAAACTCAAAATCTCACATAAAAAATTATAAGAGTTTTGAGTTTATCTTGTATCTCACATCGAGAGTTTACTAAAGATATAAGATGTTTCACCTTAATAAATAAGATATTTTGATTTTGGTTTGGTAATCCTAGATAGTTAAACACTAAGAGAATAACTAAGTAAGTAGGTTATTAAAAGGTGTAATTGGATTTTGGGTTAATTTTTGAGTAAGGAGTTTTTGGTAACTTTTCTCATTTTAAAAGTTTCACAATTGAAAAGATTTATTTGTTAGTGGATTGGGTTTAGAGTATGTCATTTTGAGTTGGATCAAAATAAATATATTTTTGTGTTTTTATTTTTGATTTGAGCTTATTATTTTATTCGTGAGTGGTGCGTGTGCGTGTTGATTTCCTAACATGAACAACATGGAGAACAAATGTGTTTTCTGAGATAAGGCAGAATCAGTGGATCAACTCTTTCTGTTCTGCAAAGCTACATGCATAATATGTTACAAATTCTGCTAGAAATGGGATATTAATTGGGCAATGCCAAAATCGTTAAAAGAAATGTTTCTAAGTTGGAAGGACCTAATGTATAAGAAGGATCAGGTTGTGATCTGGGAAACTTTATTCTATGCAGCTTTGTGGTCCATCTGGTTGGAGCCAAATGAAAAAAATTTTCAACAAGAAAACATTGGGGCTGGATGATATATTGAATTTGAGCTGCATAAGATTGGGATTGTGGATGAAGGCTAAATACCCGACGTCCACCTTAGTTTTCTGAACAGTAAAACACCGACAGCCTCTTCATCCCCACCAAAAAGCAAATCAAAGAGGCAGTTTACAAATGGACTCCTCCTCTTTAAGGATGTTGGAAGATAGACGTGGATGGTTCAGTTATTGGAAAGCCAGGGCCTAGAGTTATTGGTGGAGTAATAAGAGACCGCAAAAAGGCATGTCGGACTCATCTTGTCCAAAAGTATAGGTATGGTGGATTCAAACTTAGCAGAGCTGTTTAAAATTCATGAGGCCCTATTAATCGTGGTAAATGCGAACCTCTGTGCTATACCGGAGATAATGATAGAAAGTGATTAGAAAGTAGCTACTGCATGGTTAAACAGAAACGATCGACAATAGACCATAGAAATACAATGATTTTTTCAACAAGATCACCAACCTAGTTTCTGCTAGGAGTTTGCATAATTCGGTTTTAATCAAATTAATCAATCGAACTAATTTAATTGGATTAATCGATTAACCATCAAATTAATTTTAATTGATTGACGAAAATAATTTTAAAAAATTTTGATTTTCGATTAATTCGATTCGAAAACTAAATTAATATAATTAACCAAAATTATAATCGAAATATAATATAATCCAATTATAAAATGAAAAAAAGATTAAATATATCATTTAATTTCATAACTTGTTAGAGTTCTTAACATAATATTTTGATATTTGAATATTTTATTAGATAATTTTATTTAATTTATTTAAAATATGAGGAATTAAGAGTTTAAAATATAATTTAATTTAAATATATTTATTGTTCAATTAATCAAAAAAAAATAATTGAACCGATTAAATTAAATTCGATCAATTAATTTTTAAAATTTAAAAATTTGATTCGATTAACGAAAATAAAATAATATAATTTGATTAATTCAATTTTGAATAATTTAATTCTAAATTAATCGAACCGAACGAATAAATATCTGTAATTTCTGCGATAAAAAAAATCACTTTTATTCATGTTCTAAGAGAAGCAAACTATTTTACTCACATTCTAGCTCAATCGGGTGTAATGAGTGAAACTGTTTCTCACTAATCTTATTGTGTTTTTTTTTAAGGCATAAAATAATTTCATTAATAAAAGACATGTACATAGATAGCGATCAAGAAAGATAACAAAGAAACAACACCAACAAATAAAAAAGGAAAAAAAAAAAAAAGAAGACTTAAAAGAAAGTCGAAAAGTGCTTAGCGTTTATGAGCACCGGATTTAGCTAAGCTAATAGCAATGGTGTTTTGCATGATGGGAATACCCTTAAGCTTGACTTAGATCGATATGGTTACAGTATTTCTTCAATCTCCAAGGAATCGGTGAAACATCATTTGCTCATTGAGTAGCATTACATAGGAATTATTGCAGATCCACAGTTATTAATTCAAATTAATCACATGGTGAGTAGATATGGCGGCTCTTATACATGGACGTTTCCTCTGTACACTTTACTATGTCTTCTTTAATGATTTTGTTAGGAACGAAACCAGAACTTGGATGATCAGTGACAAATCTTGATTTTTAATTTTGAAGGGATCAAAATAATATTTTATAATAATTTTTTTTTCAAATATATCAAATTTATTAATAATAAAAAAAGATGCAAACCTATAATAACAAAACTTACACTTATAATTATGCTAATATGTAAACATATATATAACAAAATGAACATACTAAACAATTGATCTCACAATTTCTAATTATAAATTACTAACAATATCCTTTATAAAAATAAAATCATTATTTTTTTACAATATTAACACATTATTTTATCATTTTTAATATTTAAAGTATTAAAGTAAAAAAATCAAAACATATATTTTTTAAATAAATTAAATTTTAAAACAATAAAGTAAAATTTTTTATACCTAAATTAAAACATTCTAATTTTTTACATGGTATTTTTTACATTATGAAAAATGAAAATTTATTTAAACTAATCATATTAATTATTTTGATATGTAATAATTTTCAAATAAAAACAAACATGCAGAACATAGTAAAAAAATTAATTAAAAAAATCACAATTGGATATTTGTCAAATCAATTTTAATTATTATAATACTAGCATATATATATATATATATATATATATATAAAACTTAAATTTACATGTTTGTGAAAATATAATGTTGACAAATTTATTATTCATTTTAAATTAAAAATTATTTATAATAAATAAACACAAGTTAAAGAATTATAATTTTTTTTTTTGAAATTAAGAGTTGTAATATTTTGATACAAATAACTTTTATAACTATATATCTAATATAAATACATAAAATAAAGAATAATATATATCAACACAATAAACTTAAGTTTAAGGGAGTCAAACTAGTTTTTTTATTAAAAAAATTCAAAATTATTATGAAAATATTATATATATAAAAAAAATTAAAATTTTTGGGTTCTTTAAAGCATCCGCCCCTGATTGGATGCGTCCAAACGAAGGTGTCAACAACATCTAGGGTAGTCTGGGTTATGCTCCACAGTCTCTCTTTTTATTTTCGATATTCGTTTTCTCCTTCCCTTGTAGGATAGGGAATAAAATCTATTGTCAAAATTCAACCTTCTGCTTCAACTTATTGTTCAGAAAGAATTTTGCGATTACGTGTGATTAAAACAAGAACAATGTGCAAACTGAAGTTTACTAATATAGCAGCTTTCTGCCATGAGTGGGCGGGTTTGCACGAGTCAAGAGATAAAACAACTCTTTGGTTGTTTTCGAAGTGAGGAAAAACAATTTATCAGCTGAAGTCCAACTGCAAAGTATCAGTTAGTGACCTCGGAAAATACAACTGAAAAACTGGTCATGAGCATGTTACTAAATATTTCCTTTTGGTAAAAGAATCTTCTTTGTGCACCTATCTGCATACAAGAACTCCATCATGACAGATTTAAGGTTAATCAAGTCAAATTCATCGGATGGTAGGAGAAAGTTAATGGTGTCTAAGACATGGCTGTTTCATACATATACATATATATATATATATATATATATATATATGGTGTTCTTAGGAGGACTAATCAGAAATTTGGAAGACGGTTTCAATTTTAATTACAACAATCTACCAACGTTCATGTAGCACCCCCTTTATTTCTATGTTCTTGTTCTCTATACTTGAATGAGAAGAAGAATTACAATTGTTTAACTTCAACTTCTGCGCTGACATTAATCTAAAGTTCTTTAACTAGCTGCTTTGTGCTATGGGTGGGCAAATTTGCAACATTGAAGAAATAATCTTTGAACTAGCATTTTAGATTTCTACACCATGCGTATTGGAAACTGCATTGTATCCAAAGATATCAACATATTTCCCTCAGTAAACTGTATCAAAAGCAAATACTATATACCATTAAAGCATTCACAAACAATTTATCAAGTGGAGAGTAAACTACAGCTACGACCCTACGAGCATACAATTATGGCATTCATTTTCTCAAACTAACCCGATACAAATGATGAGCAATGGCATCCCGGATCCTCCGCCCGCTCTTATCCCCCTCTTCTTCAGAGACAGGCCTCAGCTCCTCTTCGTTCTCCCTTGAGTTCGCTACATTGTCTTCTGGCAATGGCTCGCTACACTTGATTAAAAAATTTTGCAACAAACACCCCATGACAATCACAAACGGCAAATAGTCAACACATTCCTCTTTCCACCTCCTACACAGAAGCTGCCACCTAGCTCTAACTCTCCCAAACGCCACCCCAACCAGCTCCATTGCTCGACTATGCACCGCATTGAACTCTTTCTCCGGTGAACCGAAACTATCTCCTTCCTCATTGGACCTCACATAAGGGGTTATAAGCCATGACAAGAGAGGGAAACAAGAATCGCCCAACATGTATTGAGGAACAGAGTTTCCATCACTAAGCTTATAACAAGGCCCGTTTAACAACTCTCGCGATTCCTCTACTCGTGAGAAAAGCTTCGTTTGATGTAGAATCGATTCGGGTTTAATGCTGCAAGGCCAACCAGCTGAGATATCCAAAAATCTACCTTCAGAGTCCACCAATGCCTGAACTAAAACCGACCCATTCGAACCCATAAGCTGTCCATCAACCTCGAAATGCCCAAAACCCAAAACGCCGCAACAATTGGGAAGCGAAATCCACCCAAAACCCACCATAATACGGCTGATATCAGCCTGAAAATCAAGGGAATTGCCTAACTTATCATTTATCAGCTTGCAAACGGTGTAGAAGGCACGGCAGGCGTCAGCTGAGGACGAAAAACCAAAGCTACGGGCCAAGAATTTGTAAGAGGCCCCGTGGGCAAGGCGGAAGATAGCGGCCGCGAGGGAGGAATCGGGAGAAAAATAGGGAGGAAAGGAAGGGGAAAGGGTTAAAAGGAGCTGAGAGAAGGTGGGTTTAGACATCCTGAAATAGCGGGACCATAGGGGGTCGGAGATGGAAGAGGGAAGAGAGACGAAGCGGTGGAACCAAGGGGAAGGAGAGGGAGGAAATGGAGGGGGTCGAGGAGGATAAGGGAGGAGAGAGGAGAGCGAGGAGATGAGGGATTCAAGGGAGATGCATTGGGAAGGGAGGAGCAAGAGATCATGGCGGAGGAGGAAGGAATGGGCGGCAGAGATGGCGGAGGAGAGGAGGGAAACGAGTTGTGGGGTTTATAGGTGACTTTTCGGTTTGCATTTTCTGACTTTGCGCTTGGTGGCAGTGGCGGCTGTTCTTGGGGTGGCTTTGCCCCGACCGGCGCCGGCAGCCATGGCTCTGGAAGTGAAGTGGAAGACTAGTAAAAAAGGAAGCTCCGACTGAGACGGAGAGATGGTAGTACTAGTAGTAGTTCATGTTGCTTATGCTGTCTAATGTATTTGTTGCTTTTGCCTTTTGCTTTAATTTATGGTTTTTTTTTCTTAAAAAAATTCGAACACTGTTGTATTAATTTCACATTAATAAATAACAATCATAGTTATTTACATCCTATATAGAGGAAAAAAAAAAAAAAGAACCTAACTTATGCACAAATTTTTGTTTCAGATTTCATCTAAGTACAAATTTTTTCTTCCATCAAATTATAAGTTTAAATTTTTGCTGTAGATTTTAGGAAAATGGCTTTTATTAAAAGAAAAGGAAAGTTGGACTGAGCATGACGCTGCAATTTTAGTTTTATTTGAAAAAAAAAAAAAAGAAGAAAAAGCAGTCATACACAGAGTGTCACGCTAAAAAACCTAAAGTAGAAGTCGAAAAAACACAACATAACCTAATAACAACATTTTTCTCCTCAGCCCATATATCCGTACACACGAAAGCATCCTTACGAGAGAAGTCTTTTCTCTCTTACACTCTTCCTTCACTCTTTGTAAAAAAGAACAAAAAATTTCCTTGTTGGGGATGGCGAAATTAAGGATCGGGGGGACCTGGGTAGGGGTGATAGAGTTAGAATTGGAGAATTGGACGGTGGCAATGTTGAGGGAAGAGGTGGCCAAGCGATCAAACGTGGAAGGTCCTGACTCTATCAACCTTATAGCTTCTGGTAAAGTTTTGAAAGATGGTGATGGCACTGAAAAATTAAGCCAATTGGGTATCAAAAACAACGCTAAGATTCTGGCCAGTCGTCTGTCTGTTGATGAGGGCAAGTCCTTGAAACATGAACTCATGGCTGAGGAAGAACGCTCTCGTAGACTTGCTCGAGTCAAGTGAGTCTTTTGGTCAACTCTCCCTCTCTATGTGTTCTTTTAAATGATCAATTTGTAATATTCAATATTTTTATAAAAAGTGATTTCTTTTGGTGGTTTTTAATGGGTTCTTGTTTATTGGAATTCTTGGTTTAATCAAAGTTAGCAAATTTATTTTATAATGAGGAAAATTTATGACCTTTACGATTTTAATGTTTATGAGGAAAAATTAATTGTTTTAAGTGTAGTTAGTTCAATAAGTTATAATGATTTTACTGTTTTCTTATATTTGATGGAATTGGTATAATATTTTACGTCTTAAAATCAGTGCGGTCTAATGTAGTCTGAAGTCTATGATTGAATTGATAGTGTGAAATACTAGTATGTTGCAGTGTTGAGAGATGTTGGTCCTTTATAGTTTACCTTAAGTTGAGATTATCTTGAGCATCCAACTTGGAGAACCTATTGGCTTTAACTGCAGAAGTGTCAGTGTTGTTATCTGAAGTGGGGGGAATACCTTCAAAAATGTGTCTACTCTTTGAACATTTTAGATGAAGCAAGGACTTACCTTTTGCAAAGAGTATAAGAACCTGCTTCCAAGTTTTTTTGAATGAAAAGGAATCTTATGAATGGATATGACAATTTTATAGTTTTCCTGCAATATGAAGTGATCATCTTTTCAGGAGTTCGTGGGCTGGGAAAATAATTTGTTTCGGTGTATTTTCTGAGTACCATTGCATATTGTTTTGCAAATTTTCCAATTACTATCCTTAGTAATCTCTGTTGGCAGGGCAGCTGCCACTGCACTTTCCAAGAGACATGTAGATGGTTCATTACCAATTGATGACTTCAATATTGAACTGGAAAACCAGGGAGGGCAAAAAGTACAATTAGGAACTGAGACTGATCAGCAGTATGGTATTTAGTCCTAGGTTTTAAGACATTGGCCCTCATTTTTACAACTAAAGTAAGATATCAATGTCTTTAAACAGGGCAGTAATGATGGGCCTGATGCTTCACGAAAATGCAAAGAATCTAATTAGGAGACAACTGTATAAAGATGCACTGGAAGTGCTCACCATGGGGGAGGTTCGTTGCTAGTATCTTCCCTCATTTACTTCAACACTCTACTTTCTTCAAATCTTTTCTTGCTTGTATCCAGATTCTTAGAATAGCAGTTTATGAACATTTCTTATCTGCAAAGCTGATGATAAGGTTATATAGTAAAATGTTTCTCTGTGAGTTTGACAATTAATTAATTTAAGTATCTTATTTCTTTCTTGTAGGAGGCTTTCTCTCTTTGTGATCCCAAGGTCCTTGAGGTGAGATATTCTTTCTTAGAATTAAAGGTCATTTTCAGAATAACTTTTAACCCGTGCTGCAGTTCGGTTTATAGTTTATGGAAATAACTAAAAGTCGCTTTAGCATTTCGATAATCCTTTTATAATGTTAAACATGCAGTTGTTATTGAATAATTGCATGCTTGTTCTTTGATTTGACTCAATGTCCAATACATATTGGCTGTATATGTCTGCTTGCAGTTTATTGACAATGTACCGATACTGCAAATAGACATGGTGTGGTGCTATTTCTTGCTTCAAGATATCAGTTGGCTTTCAGTTGCAGGAATGCGCCTTGAAAAGGCCAGAGAAGGACTTGAACGTTGCCACGGGAAGGATTTTTCCCGTGTTAGACTCCTTCAAGCTGGTTGCCAGCCAGAGCTTGCACTGTGAGTACTTTGCAAAATTGCTTCAGTGACTCAATGTCTATGTTTCTGGCCTTGAGTCAGAATGCTGGAGGTTGCAATGTGAGGCTAATCTCTTTTGCATGCTTTCTTTGTAGACATATGAGATTGGAGTTGTTGGAAGGGGTGGTGGCATATCATAATGGTCAGTTTGATAAATCAACAAAGGCACTGACCTCTGCTCAAGCAAAATTCTCACAGGTTACTCTAATTATAGTCCAAAGCAGCTGGCTCTTTTCAGATATCTTGTTCCAGTTGCTCCATTTTTCTTCTAGTGTAATGAAAGGGGAGAATTTTGTTACTTTCCTTTTTTTCTTAGTTGATTTGGTCGGTCTAGGGGGACCACCACTGGTCTTCTCTTCTCAATAACCTATATATACCCTTCTTGAGTGCAGGTTTAGTTTTGGCTTCAATGGGAAGATAAAAGGGAGCCTGTAATGGCATATCTCATGAACCAAGAATTATAAGACTGGATTTGCAATTATTTTGCTTGCTGTATTATCGCAACTTTATTTGCTGAAAATAATATTGGTTAAATTTAATAGAAATAACATATATCAATAGTTTAAAAAGGTTAAAATACATTCAGATATTATTAAATGGGTCAAATTCTTCAGCAAGTACTTGGGGTTATCAAAAGTTTATTGTGCTCATCTTTTGCTTCCTTCTACCACATTCAACTTTTTTTTTTCTCGCCAATCTTTTGTTTTTGCCACCTCTGTTTTCTTATTGTTTCTTTACATAATGCCTTTGCATCCTTCTCCAACATTAAGCACAATTTTTTGCTGCTTATTTCAGTTACAAGTGCCTGATGAAGCATTATCTCACGTTATGAGCATGGGCTTCAAGGAACGTGATGCAAGGAGGGCATTACGATTGAACAATCAAGATATAGGGAGTGCTGTTGAATTTCTTTTTGAGGAAAAGGCAAAGAGAGCACAAAAGCGAGAGGATGATATCCGGCTTAGAATGGAAATGATGTGGGTATAATATATGTAACTGGCATATTCCCTTTTGTGTACAAATAATTAACTTAACAAATTTTCAGGGAGCAAAAACAATATGGAGTAACACCACTGAAGAAGGCTGTGAATCTTGAGAAATTGAAAGAATTAGTTGCCATTGGGTGAGCGGGGAACTACTGTATTCTTGTTTGTCTTTTTAAATCTTGTTAATGTGATATGATGACTACCATTTTGGTGTATATTTGTGGTCGCTGAAAGTTCAAGTTTTCCTATCATAGCTTCATATTCATGAAAGGAAAATAAAAAAACAAGGATACTTTATTAAGGTTGTATTGAACCCTCCATTGTACCATCCACGACTATTGATGCATACTAAAAGCTTTCCTACAGAAAGCTAAAACTTTCTCTTTTTTTTTTTTTTGTTTTTATGGAAAAGGCTAAGACATTTTTGACTTGGCAGATTTGAGAAGAACCTTGCTGCAGAAGCCCTTCGAATGAATGAGAATGATTTTCAAAAGGCATTAGATGATCTGACAAATCCAGAAACTAATTCTGCCATACAGGTTGGCTGCTTTTTGCATCAAACTTTCCTAATTTTCAATTTTATTTGCTATCTGGCTCTTACTGATTATGTTTGTCTGCAGCTTGATATTGAATCAAGGAAAAGGAAAAGAAAGCAACGGACTGCAGATGCTAGAATCGAAGAGCTTGTATCCATGGGATTTGACCGATCAAGAGGTAATGAGGAAACTGTTCTAAACTGCTGTACTGGGTAATGTGTATTGAGTGTGCATGTGTGTATCTGTGTCGTGGTGTAGGGAGGGGAGGGGAGGGGACAAATTTAAAATTTGCGGAATGTATAGCTAAACTCTGTTAGGTTTCATAATGGTCAAATCAAGACAAAAGGAGAAAGGATATTTTTTTGTTACTTAACATTCTAAACAATTTGGCAGCTACTTTTTGTTAGAAAAATATATCATGTAACTCAAAAGAATGATTGGAGCAAACTAAAAATTCATATAACAGACATTATATCTTTGACATGGTATAGACAGGTTGCAATCTGTCCAGTTTACTGGAAAATGTACTTCAAGCACCACATTGCCAAATTCATGAATGGATATGAGTTGTGATAAAAAAGAAATTGTGAAATCTTTCTAGTGTGCAAGAGGATTCAAATTTGATAAAAGCATTTGCCGAAACTGCCACTTGTTTATCCTCATAAGCTCAAAAGATTTTTCCTAGTAGCATTTCTAATATTTTTCCTGGGTTCAGTGGTTGCTGCTGTTCAGGCTGGTGAAACAGTGGAGCAGACAATGAGTCGACTGATGTCAGAATCTGAGCCATTCCCCACTGTTGATGCTAACAGCAATGGAAATCCTGCTTCAGAGCCTAACAATGTGAACTCCGATAGTGTGAGTGATAATGATCCTGTTGAAGGTCCGTCAACTGCTGGAGAAGAAGAACGGGATGTGGAGATGGAAGATGAACTTGCAAGAGACATAGGAAATGCGGATGCTTTATCAGACTATGACATTGAAGTTACGAAAGAAGGTGAAGCCATACACGAGTATTTAACGCTTTTGGCCTCAACGGATATCAAGAAGGCTCTATCTTCGTGATGAGAAAACAATTCGAAACAATTACTAGTACATATTTGTGAATAGGGTGTACCCACTGATACAGGCCTCATTTTAGGTAGTAAATGTCAATAATTTCAAGGGATTGATGATCTAGAATGAAGGGAAGCAGGATAGCTCTTTCTAGCACTACAAAAAGCTTGTGATTTCACATTCGAATCCTTATCCTTAAATTAATCAGTGCGTAATTTACCCAAATGTGGATATATGCATGAAAGTGTTTGCATGCATGGTCTTTTATGTGCATAAAATGTCTGTAGTTACGGTGCATTCCACCTGGCTAGATTTATCGCATATCATCACTCAGTTTAAAATGAAACCCAACACCGGATGGAATAAGGAAGAACATTGGTGATATGCGAATATCGACGATGTTGAAAAAACAAGTTCTGGAAATAAAAATAAGACAACTCTCGAGTTGAGCTTAGATATTTGTCAGCATGTTTTCTCAGCATTCACCAATATAGGAATTGTTTCCCGATGTAAGTTTCAATCGTATGCATTGTCCAAATGCTAATCTGTTTCTTTTTCTTCTTGTTGGTTTTTTTTTTTTTTTTTTGACAATTCATCCAAACTCTAATCTTTATGAAAAGGAATGGAAGAAAAAGATAAAAGTGGATATTAACAACCCTTTAATTTGATACGGTAATACTTTTACTTAGACAAGGCTTATCTCTATAAATGTATGATCAAAACGTGTCTGAAGATTTACAACGTTCATTCTTTTGAATCATAACTAGTTTGATCTTCCGAGCCCATGTTCATAGTAATATGTGCGTCCTCAACCTTGGTATCCCTGTAATCCTTAGGAAGCACATTGCAATTAATGGTATGCCACACCGGTCTCTCTTCTTGGAATAATCTGCAAAATCAGGGATAGGGATCAAAAACTTTTTGAAATAAATAAATAACCAGAAAATACAGAATTAAATGGTGGTATTTAAAACATTATACAATCCCCCACCCACCCCTTCTTTTTTCACGTTGGAATGCAAGGGATAGAGAAAGAGTTCCTAGGCTGCAACTAACAGCACTAACCAGATAATTATAAATGCCAATTAGACGGTGTGTCAACACTTCATTAATATTTCTAATGTTGTTGTTTGTCAGTATGACTAATTAATATTAGACAGCTAGTCAACACTTCATTAATATTTCAAATGTTGTCGTTTGTTAGCATGACTAATTACTATTTCTAATGTTGTTTGTTAGTATCACTAACTTGTATGCATCAAAAGTTATGTGACCAACTGGTAAAATAAAAGCTCGCTGACCCAAGTGAGAAAAGGTACAAGATTAGTGGCAGCTGGTAAAGCTTACCCTTTTAATTCTCTTACACTAAACAGAAAGTGGCATGATATGTTCCCATAACGGTTTGGTTTTGTCCCTGCATCATTCTATCCAGCACTTTTGGCAGCATCTCAGAACACTTGCTCATTGACCATTCAATTAATGGCCCAACGCTAGGTTTTTGACGTAACTAGACCAGTGTCATCAATTGAGAAGAAAGGATAACAAGAAGTATTCACTCATGTTTTACATACAGTTCCCTATTCAGCACTTGAGTAGCATATCTCTGATCTTTCTAACAGGCACAATCAGCTTTACAGAAACTAGCATCAATAGCTCTAATCTTAGCACTTGAAAGTAGAGAGAGAGAGACTCACGGGTGTTTGCATAGCATAGGGCATTGAACAGTAAGTGCATACTTGCATGTGGATAACTCTGTAATTGAACTAATCATTGCTCTTGGCTCTGAGCAGACAAATCTCACCTACAAACAAAAATAAGAAAGCATAAAATGATGAGAAGGAATCCAAAAACAAACACATGGTCTTTTTCCTTCCGAAGGAAATCTAAAAACCATATAACAAATCTGTAACTTTATTGCTTCATACCTCAGTTTCTCGGGGCCGATTAGTAAGATCACAAAGGGTTCCATTCATATATTGATGGGCATGATACCTGTATGAGACACAGGTTGATTATTAGTCTTTCCTTCTTTTAAGTCAATATAATCTTTTACTTTTCACCTCTTGAAACCTCTTTTTTGGTTAAAAAAAAAATAGGTGCAATCTAAAGTTTTAAACCCTACTGAATTCACACCTTTGTGATGCATCTTTTGAGCGAGGATCTTTTAATGTGAAGATGTCAGAGAGATTCTGGTTGAAGGCAGCAGTGGCCACTTCATCATATACACCCAAGACAAATTCCTGAACCACCTGCAATGGTTATTTAACAAATATCATTATTCTTAATGCTTTGTACGAACTATCAGATCAATTCCAAGTAATTCCATAGTGATAAGAAAATGTCCACAAGAAATTAATAGAAACTGCCAATCGGTTATGCATTAAGGTATTTAATAAGACATAGGAATACTCAAAATTATTATTATTAATAGCAAATGCTGCTGCTGCTGCTTTTATAACTATTATTACTAGTAGTACCACCTATCATATAAAAAACTACTCAGATCAAATAGATGGTGCCAACACCATATTCAGTGCCCAAAACCATCAGTTGAGTATCCATAACAGGTTCTGCTCATCAAATACATTTGGTATATGTACTGTTCATTTCAGAAAATAATGGTATTCCAAGTCACTGAAGGATACGTCACAGACAGAACACTCAAACAAGTGAGAAAAGCCTGGTCTACTGTAAATACGAGCATCTTAAATTCAATTAAAAGGCTACCTTATCCTCTTCCAAATGTAGTTGCCGTAACCACTTTTGATAGCAAAATTCATAGGACCACCAACCCTCTTGCTGCATGATAGAGTTGACTAAATAAGCACTAGAGGCAAATACGAAAATAACCAGCACATAGATATGAATATAACCAGCACATAATTCCAAGGAAGAACAATGGCTTTCTTAATTATTTGCATTAATGTCAGATAATCAAACACAATTTTTAGGAACCAGATGCGCACTCTGATAAAGCATTGATCCTTCAATACTTCCAGTAGTTCATCTGGCATCTTCATTTTAACCCGTTTCTCAGTTTCCACAATCATGCTACTAGTGTTCAGCTGAGTAACTGGCATTCCAGTCTTGGCTTTCTCCACCTTAGGCAAAAAACATAAAAAGTTCTTTCCATCTTTATTAGGCATAATAACAGACTCCTGATCATCATCCTGCAAAATATTTGAGGCGTTATGACATTAGCTCATGAGAAGTGGCAAAATCCACATGGGACTTGATAGGTTCACATGAAAGGAAAAACCAAACCATTAAAGCTACATGCACATGGAAAATTTATGACAAGACTAAGAAGCCAAGATTTTCACCATTCTTATACCATCAATAACCATGTCTTACAGAAACAGCACTAATCCGCACTCTAATCATAATTTCAATCATTCTCTCCGATTTTAAAAAACAAACTTTTTAAGCCTTCCAACAAGGAACATGAATCATTATGCTGAAGCATATTGCTAGATAACAAGTATTCTAATTGATTTAAATTGGTTAGTGGGAAAACAAAATTAAGCTGCCTCAACTAAGAGCATGTTTTGTAGAAAACTTTAAAACCAAAAAGTTCCTGCTTGCATTAAGATGTACATGTCAATGATTTCAGGACTTTTACATGTCACCATTAAAAAATTTTACTTGCTCAAGGAATAAGTAGAAGTAGTAAAAAAAATCTTGGTATATCGTGGAAAAAAAATGGTAAAGCCCCAGTGAACATCCAGATGATGCTAACACTTTGGATATATGCCAGTTCATTTTACAAATCCATCATGCAATAAAATCCTAACAGGGTCATACTGGGGCTAACAAGGCACTACTTGTTATAAAGTTAAACTCCTTTTCATGTTTAAAGAAAATTTTCATGAGATAGATATGGATGGTCCATGAAGAAGAAACCTAAGGGAAGGAGAGGCAGGATGACAAAACTTCCTTATCGAGGGTAGAGAATGATGTACTGATATTGTAAATACATGGATATGATTGTGACATCTGCTATAAGATCAAATATGAAGCAATAAGCAGGAAAGAAGAAACTTCAAAGTGCTCATCCAGATTTTATCAAAAGTAGGACTGGAGCAAAAATATGTGTTAAAAATTCTAAGCTTACTTACAGGATGGTAGGGTGAGTCTTCTGTATGGAACTCAATCTTGTATTTTGGTTCACGGGAGCTTCGGCCAAATGTGCCAGCTGTTTATCGGAAAAGTATTGAAGAAGTATCAGCAAGCAAGACAAACTTGAAAGCAGTAGAATCAATATCCTAAATACTAAAAAAAACTATGAGAAAGCCAATAATTCAATTCCAATCTAGTTGGATGACTCTGCATATGATAACATCATCCATGAAGACTGATTTGGTTACAACCATCATTAGTGGCACCTAATATGGCCTAAATGTCCCTTAACCCTCCATAACCATTAATAGCTCTTTCGAATGGCCCTTGTGGTATGAGAAGACAGATCATTCTAATTTGTTTTTGTTCAGGCTCCAGATTACTTGTTTCTCAATTTTACCTTCTGTATTGTAAGAACCAATAGCCTTTCGTTAATCCACCATAAAAAGGCATAAGAACATAAGCCAACTATCTACGGGTCGCCAAGCAGGTCAGCTATGATCCATAATATCTGAGTTATCTTAAAATCAGCTCTCGGCATAAATTTGCTCTCACCAATAAATACTCAATTTCTACACCTATCAGTAACAGTATAAATACCCTTTTTCCTAAAGTAGTTGGCATTCACAAGTAAAAAATTAAACACAATTGCAAACTCTTTCCAGTAGGGAAAAAACCAGAAAACACTCGTGATGCTGAAATCACGTTTCAGCACGTTACTCAGATCGTAATCAATATTCAACAAAGTGCCGGGCATAATGCCCAAGAACTGAAGTTGGCATCAATCTCAGGCCACAGAAGGACAAGGGATATCTAATGTTTGCCCCATTCTATTACAACACTTGTGTTGAATCAAATTCCAAAAGCACAAAATACCTCTTGTTGTGTAAAACAATAAAATCACTAGGAATAAATAATTTAAGTTCGGTCATAAGGCCTTATGACATCAATTCTTCTATGTTTCGCACATGAAAATAAAAATTAAAGAGAATAAAAGAAAACCCAGAATCAAATTAACAACATTAAGATGAATTAGACAAAAAAAAAGCTAGGAAATTTACATTAAAAAGTTGAACTTCGAAATAAATGAGAGAGAGAAATACGGGCATACCTACATGAGATGGAAAAATCTGATCGGCTAAGACTCTGCTGCATAAGATACATAAAACTGCTACGAAGCTAATAAACAATCTCATATTCCTTTTTTTTTTTTAAGAAAATTTTCTTTTAATATTAAATAATAATTTGAACCCCGCTAAGGAATCTGGCTCCAAAAAAAGACCTGCTAAGAAAAAATGCAAAAACATCCAAAGGAGAAGGAGGACGGTCGAAGTCCGTCTCCAGTGCGTTTGAACATGACACAATTCTACTCACGTTGGCCAATGACATCTCGCCACGTAACTAAAAGTGGTGACACACAGTGGGGGAGATGGGCTGGAAGACTGGAAGTGTAATGTAGTTTTATTTGTGCTAGGAGCTTAAGCCCATTGAACATTTTATTTCATCATGTTTCGGAAAAGCGGCCCAGAAATATATTTTATCCGTCCTGCATTTGATATGATTTTGATGCTTGATCCGCCAAAGAACAATGGAATGATTGGTAGGTTCACTTATTTTGCTAGAGTTATCAAACATCAATGAATAAGGATATTTTTTGTATTAATAAGAATTAAGGTCATTTATATTGATAGAATAATTCATCACTTGCATTAAGTTTCATGTGAGATGATGAACTGTATTAGTGATGGGTCATATTCAAGCTAGATAAATGATGAATTGAGATTAGAAAGAGAAAATTTAAGGCATAAAAATCATTCTTGTTTTGATTGTATATCTTTCGCTGCTAATGCGAGCTTTGTGGAATTGACAAAGATGTCATCCATAATATTGAAGAGATTGGATGAAATTGAGAAGAACATTAGGGACTTTTGCCTAATTTTAAAATACTTTCAAATTCAAGAGAAAACTTGATTTAACTTTTCATTCATACAACCTTATAGAAGATTAGATTGAAAATAAAATGCATATTGTAGAGATTGGAGAAGGTAAGAGTAATGTTAATTACGAACAAAAATAGGAAGATATGTTTAAACTTTTGCCATGTTAGTTAAAATGGCATAAGTCTTTTTTGGCTAAAAAGATTGGATTTGATTGAGAATATATATGTACACTAAAAGATAAATGAAATGAGCAGTTCAAATTTGAATACAAAAGAATTAGGTAAAAAAAATCATAAGAACAATTTTTTTGTTTTTTGTTAAGGACTCTCATGTTGCGCACTCGATCAAAATTTTTATGATGCATCTTATTTTTTTTATAAAATAGATAATAATTTAAAAATAAAAAAATTATATATGTTAACATTCAAATTTCATATATATTAAATATTATTTTTTAAAAATAATTAAATAAATAAATCGAATGAAATTCTAAATCTATGAACAAATTCATTTATTATGGTACTAGAATATATCGATGTAATTTGACATATCTTTTCAATTTTATGAACTATATATATAGATACATGTATATTTCAATTATACATATTTAATATGTTATATGCAAATATAAAATTTAAAAATAATAAATATATAAGATCTAAAATTTTTAAACTTCAAATAAATGAAACAAATATAAAAATATATAAATTATTGTTAATACCCTAATATAATGAACATATATTACTTTTTAGATGAAATTATGAAAAAAAATAAAAATGCTCATGAAATAAAAAATTAAAAATTGATTAAAAGATTAAAATAAATATAAAATTATAATAATAAATATAATTAGTATGAGCCAATACAGATCAATAAAATCAATACAAATCAATATAAAGCATAATACGATATATCAATTTAAATATATCAATTTTCATTAAAAAAAATTATCTACAAACAATCCTCTAAGAAACATGCCAATGTGATGGCCATACTTTTCATATTTTATCGATGCATAATTCCATCAGAGAAAAGTAAAATTTGCCCAGTTTTTCCAATAAAAAATTGGAAGCTCTCGGATATTGGACGGTCAAACGAGTGGTGTGGAAATTGAGGGCGGTGACTTGTAAGTATAGTTAATGTCACGTTCTGTAGGAATCTTTCTTACAACTTTCCAACAAGATGACGAGTCAATCTTAACACACACACCAAAGTTACCAACCAACCAAACCAAACCAGAAGCTTCCCATCTCATCTGAGTTCCCAACAACAAGAACAAGAACAGCTGTCACTGTTTGCATTTTGCCAGTTGCCTGGCAATAGAAGAAAACTGCAACTGTTTTTATTTTATGTGACTGGCAGTTGTTTGGGACCCACCATAGGTTAGTCACTTTTTATTTTTATGGCCATAGCCATTAGGTTCGTTTCTTTGTCACAACATGGAGTGGGCCAATTCCCTTTTCGGCTTTTCTCGGCAGACAACATTATAAAATATAATTATTTTGTTTTCAAAATCTGCAAAATGAGAAAAAGAAAAATTTTCCATTGAGCTCTTCTCCACTTTCTTGTATTTTTTTATAATAAATACATAAAAATATATGTATTGATGTTTCTGTAATATGGACCTGTAAGAATGTTCAACTCTGACTTTTTTCCAACCTGCCTTTCAAGCTAAGGAATCGCTATTGCCAGTTTTTCTTTAGTTTTCTTTTTTCATTTGCTTTGTTATTTTTTTTTTTAATTCATAATAGATAAATTTTTTAATTTTTTAAATTAAAATAAAATATATTATATCTGATAATTCAATATAAATAATTATAAATCATGTATTCGAGATGTTTATAACAAATAATTATTAAAAAAATTTAATCTCAAAATTTTTATGACGAAGAGGATAAATCTTAATCAATTTACTTTGTTATTTTTATTTAATATGTTTGTTTATAAGCTCCTTTCTATTAGGTTATCATAGCACTTAGATGATGTTATCTATCTTTTTATCTATCTAATATCAACATTAACAATTTAATGATTGATCTTCAGATTAAGAAGATACTAATCATGATAATCTTTAATTGCTGTTAAGTATGTATAATGCTATGGAAAAAGATGCAGTAGCACCAAAAGATAACAAAAACAAATTATTTCAATCTTTGTTATAATTAGACTTGGAATCTGTATTGTGATGTTAAACCAGCACTTTGTACCAAAAAAATTAATGAAAAGAAGCTCTCATCGTCTTTCTTGGCTATTGAATTGGCTTGGTATTTTGGATCAAAAGTAACTCAAATATAAAGTAGCAAAAAATTATTAACATAAGTTTTTGGCATTATAAGTTGAGAATAAAAAGTTCTAATAATGATCAAATACCCATATATTCCTTCTATACTTTTAATTAATACACTGTATCACTTAAAAGCAAGTTGCCTTAAAAATTCTGTCATCTGAAATCAGTAATGTTTAATTCGTTTTTAATTAAACCACTTCATATGCTCCAAAATTGTCAAGCTTTTTAATTTGTTTACTTAACATAAATAAAATTAAAATTTTTAATTATTTGGAAAACTTGAAGAAGCTGACAAAGTCTAATGACAAACGGAAGTGGCAGTAGTCAAACAGATCGCTGCCTTTGGCCTGGCAACCAACGTCCCCAAGAAACTTGGAATCTCACGGAAAAATGGTCCCCATTTTATTTTCCTGAAATTAAAAAATTTTACTAAAAAAACAACACCATGATTAAACTATTTAAAGAAATTTGTTCGAGAAAATGTAAAGAAAGATTTTTCCTTTGATGGAGCTTTTTGTGGCGTTTACGTCAAGCTGTGATAATCTTAAAGACATTACAATTATCATACAAAAAGCAATGCCCAAAAAAAAAAAAAAAACAGAAAACGTTGGCCTGTTTACTTTTCTTCTAAATTCTCGCTGCGACACATTATCCCATTTTCTCTTGAAAACATTGTCTTTTTTGGTTTTCCCGGATATTTTACATACCTCATTCGTGAGAATTCATTTCCCAGATAAGTCTCCTGCTTTGATTTTTCTTTATTTTTGCTTTTCCATGAAGGGCTTATCTTTTTAGCTCAAGTTGAAGGATTGTGGATTGTTTTGTTTCTCTCTGAATTGGGATTGTTAATTCTTTGTGAAGGGGTGACAGCCCCTGGTTATTTTTCTTTTTGTATTTTCATTTTCTGGTAATTTATGTCATGTGTATGTTGGTGTGGTAAGGGAAAATCCCATTATACCTTGGAGAAATTTAAGTTCTTGGAATTGATTTGGTAGGTTGATACCCAAAATTGGAGGTTTTGTTTGGAATTGGTATCTAGGTTTTGATGGCTTTAGGTGCCTAAGAGTTTTTGTTTTGGTGTGCTTGTCTTAACTGGTATATTTGAGTTGGTTTGTGGATCTTTGTTCGTATTAAAATTTGTGAAAAGTTAATGATTTAAGGTGCTTTGGCAATTACTTTTGGCTTTGGTGGAAATTGTATGTGGTTTTTTCGCTGTTGGGGGTGGATTTTTGACTTGTGTGAGAAGTTAGTTCAAGAGGGTAGTACTTTTTTTTCTTGCTGTATTTCAGTTGATTTGTTTGTGGGATTTCTAGTTTAAGTCAAGTCATATAGTTGGTGGGTGGTAGTATTTTAGGTTGGGGTTTTTTTTTGTAGTGACAAATTGTTGGGTTTGCAATGGGGAAGCATGGTGGAAAGAATAAGAAGCAATCAGGACAAGCAGGTGATAGTAATGTGAAGCAAGGCAAAGTTGGAGATAATAGTTCAAAAGCGTATGATGAGGACACGGCAGTATTCATTGCCATGTCTCAAGAATTGAAGGAAGAGGGGAACAAGCTGTTTCAGAAGAGGGACCATGAAGGGGCAATGTTGAAATATGAGAAGGCCCTCAAACTGCTTCCAAAGAATCACATCGATGTATGCCATCTTAGGAGTAATATGGCTGCTTGTTTTATGCAGATGGGATTGAGTGAGTACCCCAGGGCAATACACGAGTGTAATTTGGCACTAGAGGTATCACCCAAGTATGGTAAAGCACTCCTAAAGAGAGCAAGGTGTTACGAGGCTTTGAATAGGTTGGAATTAGCTTTCAAAGATGTTAATACAGTTCTGAACATGGAGCCAAATAATATCATGGCATTAGAGATTTCAGAAAGGGTAAGAAGTACTCTTGAGATGAAACGGTTACGGGTGAATGATACTGTGATTGAATTGCCACCAGAATACGTTGAGCCTCCAAGTGCTTCACAAATTCCAAAAGTTGTCAAAGAGAAAACCAAGAAGAAGAACAAGAAGAAGATCAATAAAGCTGAAGATAGCAAGGCTGTGGACCAAATTGAGGAGAAGAAAGTTGATGAAAACATGGGTGAAAGGAAGGCTGAGGATAAATTGGTTGTGGATGAGAAAATCGGCAGTAAAACGGAACAAGAACCAAAGAAGACTGTGAAGTTGATTTTCGGTGAAGATATAAGATGGGCTCAGTTGCCACATAATTGCAGCCTTCTGAAACTAAGGGAAGTTATTCATGATAGATTTCCTAGTTCAAGAGCAGTTCTTATCAAATATAGAGATGAGGAAGGTGATCTAGTCACTATCACCAGTGATGAAGAATTGAGATTGGCTGAAATATCAGCAGAATCACAGGGTTCTGTGAGGCTTTATGTTGTAGAAGTCAATTCTGAGCAGGATCCTTTCTTTGAGAGATTTAAGCGCGAGGAAGTTCCCAATCTTGACATAAAACAAGGTAAGGCAGCTGAAAATGGGGATGCCAGAAAAGTTGTGGAAGCAGGAAAGGGTTCATGTTGCATTGATGACTGGATAATTGAGTTTGCCCAACTGTTTAAGAACTATGTTGGCTTTGATTCAGATTCATACTTGAATCTTCATGAACTTAGTATGAAGGAATATTCTGAGGCCATGGAGGACACAGTTACAAGTGAAGAGGCCCAGGACCTTTTTGACAGGGCAGCTGAGAAATTCCAAGAGATGACAGCATTAGCATTGTTCAACTGGGGAAATGTTCACATGTCCAGGGCAAGGAAGAGGGTGTACTTCACCGAAGATGGCTTGAGAGAATCCATACTTGAGCAGATCAAAACTACCTATGATTGGGCACAATTAGAATATACCAAAGCAGGTAAGAGATATGAGGAAGCACTGAGAATCAAACCAGATTTCTACGAAGCTCTTCTAGCTCTAGGGCAACAACAATTTGAGCAGGCAAAACTTTCTTGGTATTATGCAGTTGGCAACAATGTTGATCTGGAAACTTGGTCTTCTGAGAAGGTCCTGCACCTTTATAACAATGCTGAGGAAAATATGGACAGGGGCATGCAGATGTGGGAGGAGTTACAGGGACTACGACTGCGTGAGCTTTCCAAATCAAACAAGGAAGAAAACCAGTCCCAAAATATGGGATTGAATGGTTTATTCAAAGATATATCAGCAGATGAAGTTGCGGAGCAGGCTATCAACATGAGTGCTCAGATAAACCTTTTATGGGGTACCATACTTTATGAACGTTCACTCATGGAATTCAAACTAGGGCTACCTCTCTGGCAAGAATGTTTGGAGGTAGCTGTTGAGAAGTTTGAACACGCTGGAGCTTCTCCCACAGATATAGCTGTTATGATAAAGAACCATTGTTCAAATAACAACGCACTGGAAGGTAACATATACTTGGAAGTACACAACTTTGCATCAGCAACTAACATCAGCATAAACCTTAGAAGCGTAACTTATCTTTTGTCATTGCAGGTTTAGGGTTTAAGATTGACGAGATAATACAGGCATGGAACGAGATGTATGAAGCTAAAAAGTGGCAGAGCAAGATTCCCTCATTCCGACTACAACCATTACTTCGACGGCGAGTTTCAAAAATTTATCATGCATTGGAGCATGCATGAGTTGCATGTTGTTTTGAGTGGGATTTCCAGGAAAACTGGTGGTCGAAACGCATTCCTAAGTGCTCAATATTATTTGTAGTGGGATACAAAGTCCTGCATTTTTAGTTAGGTAAGCTGATTGATTCTTTAGTATAAATTGCAATTTACTGTGATAGAATTGCAATTCATATGACGCAATTGGCCTCTGAAAAATATGCATGAAGATTTGTTGCTCTAATTTCGACTTCAAAGTTGAAGCCTACAATCTGAAATTTTTTACTTCAAATAAGTTTTCTAAAATTTTTTGCTTTGACCCTTAAAATTAAAATTATAGCTGAAAGACCTGTTACTGCTGCACCTCCCCTTCTTTCTTGCTTTTTTTTGGACAAGTCCCTTGCTTTTCTTGACTAAGTTGCGATATGTACATTTTGTTCACAAGTTTTCTGCATGTTGTAGCCCTAAATTTCAAATTACCAATTCACTTTCACTTGTATGTGACTTTCAATGACGTGTATTTAGCTCCCTTACCATGTTCTCAGAACATAGTATGCGGTTTATTTTAAGCATTCATTGCCAGGAATAACACTGGATTGTCTGTTCTGCAGGTTTTCTTGCAATTTTCCTTTAGATCAAGCTTTAGCCTTAAACTTCAAGATTGAAAGGAGAGAATGTTGTAGTTCTTAAACTTGTCTGATTCCTTTTATCAAGAAACATGTTCAATTTTACCAATAGATGTTTGGGGATGACTTGAAGTAGCAGCAGGGATTTCATTTTTTATTGGTTTCTGCTTTCGCTTTCATCAGCTTCCCCACCAAAGAAGCAGAATATACGCGCCGAATTCTTCATTTAGTTGCAATAAGTTATAGATTGCTTACCTGATTGATTTATTATGTTTCTCATTCTGATTTCTAGCTTTGGTGTTTTTAATAAGAAATTTAGAAGACAGATTTTTGTATCTGATTGAACATAGGCTACTAAATGTGATTGAGGATTGCAGATTTATTTTCAGCTTTTGCTTCCATTTTATCAAACACCTGAACATGTTGCTCTGTTTGCACTTGTGATCAAGACCATGCTCCGACACAAGTTACCCAGATTGAGCGAAATCTCCTAGTTAAACCTCCTCCCCTCTTGTTTTTGCCTTTAGTTTTGATTCTCCAGATGAAAAATTGGAAGACAATATGCCGAAAATAGTTTGAGTAAACATGAAGTTTATATGTACAAATTTTTTATTTGGTTTTGAAACAGAAAGTGCCATATTCAGCAGCCGAACGTATATACTGTCGCCTTACATTGACTGTCCATGTAATTGGCACAATTACCTTGACCACATCAGAAAGGCAGCCGTTCACGTTTTAATATACATTTATTGAATTGTAGAGAGAGCTATATTCAGCTGATAGCAGTTATTTACAGCATATGTTACAATAGGCCCGGCATTATTGGGGTCGAAAGCTGACAAGATTGGGAAGGGTGGTTTAACTGAAGCTTCTTAATTTCAGAGGCAGTTACTTACGGGATAGGAAGCATAAATTGTCACGCCCCGAATCGAAGCATAACACGATCATATTATCTTGAAGTAAAATCTCAAAGTAATACGAAGCCTAATCCATAATCATTGAACAACTCTCAAATATAAAATGTTTTCATTAAGTAACATAACTAGATAACAAGTCTCCAAAGGTTTAAAGTAAAGTATTACAACTAAAATAAACAATACTTCATAAAATTCTATATTTCTAAGTAGTTCTCCAATGCTCGGTTCTTCTAGCTTTTCTCAAGCTAATCATACTTATCATTCATAACATCTGTAAAAAAAAAAGAAAATAAGGAATGAGCAAACCACAGCTCAGTAAGTAAAGGCTCACACACCTTACCGGATCCAACATCATTTCATACATGTCATATAGATCATTCAAAACATTCGTCAAATCAAAATGTCAAAACATCTCAATATCATCGTTTTGTCAAACATTTCATAAATTCATAAATCATTGTAAAATATGTTACTATTCAAATATCGTAGTCAAACCAAATCATGGATCAATCATTAAAAATCATCATAAATCATCATCATCATTCAAATCGTTAGCTACGGTCACTGCTATAACCCGTGACATTGACCGTATCGACGATTTCATTCTCATGATCATTGCTAACTATTATAACCCGTTAGCTAGGGCTTACGCTAACTACTATTACCCGTTAGCCAGGGTCGTATGATCATGTCTTTGCTAACTACTATTACCCGTTAGCCAGGGTCGTAGAACTAGTTCTGGTGTCGATGATCCCACTTCCCAGGGATGTAAAAACGTAGCCATCATAAAATCATTCTTTAAACATAAATCATTCTCTCATTTCATTCATAAGCATGATCCATCATTTACATAGCGAAAACACAAAATAATCATATGCTTGATCCCATTTTCATATATCAAAAATAAGGAAATAAAACATTCATTCATTTAGAAACATATATATATACATAGATTTGAAAACAAGCAAAGTGTGTGAGATTCTACTTACTTTCTTCTGATTCCACCACCTAATTTTTCTCCTTCAAAATTTAGTGGCCTATTCAAGATAATTCCAACATAACAATAATTAATCAACCCATTTGAGGCCACTTATACCAAAACAATTAAGTTAAACAAGTAATAACTCGAGTAATTAATTCTGGCAGTCTGCGCTACTTTCACTAAAACGACCATAACTCAAGATATCCAATTCAGAATTAAAACCTTATTAATGCGTTAGAAACTAGACTTGACAAGCTTTCTAACCATATATGGCTCATCTCGTGATTCTTTGTGGATTAATTATAACAATTTTTGTAATCCACGTCATATGCTGCTGTCAGACAGCCTGTATACCTTTTCATAAAAAAAATACGTATTTATTCATAGTTAACTCCAAATTCAATTCCGCTTATCTCATTGGAAAGTAGACTCAATAAACTTTCTAAACGTATATAGCTTAATCTGTAAATCCTTGTATAAAAATTAAGGAAAATTTCGTAATTCTCCCTTACTGCTGCTACTAGGCAACCTGCACCTCCTTAGGTAAAAATTGGATAACTCTTTATAGGGAACTCGAATTCGACTCCTGTTTGTTTCATTAGAAAGTAAATTCAACATGTTTTTCAACCATATATAGTAATCATAGTAGTATTTAACCCTTTAATACAGGACTTAACCTTAATTCAACACTACAAACACATGATTCATATCAGGATTTATACGAAACAAAGATTTTCCTTTCTATTCCCATCAAATTTCTGTTTCAACAATAAATTCACATTACCAACTTTCTCAACACTTAACTTGACTCTAATTAAAGTCTAAATCATCTGCCCAAAGAGGGATAATGGAAACCCTAAAATTTTAGGGTTTCTCGATTATAATTTACACTTTAAGACTTAACCATTAATACTCCAAAAATTGAAAAAGATTATTTACTCATATTATAATTTACACTTTAAGACTTAACCATCAATACTCCAAAAATTGAAAAAGATTATTTACTCACCTCTAATAGATAATTTCTCCTTGTAGATTTGTTTTTCCCTTCACTTGGAATCCTTCAATTGATCTATTCTGTATAAGAAACATATGAGAAATAAGTTTCTGTTTTTATTATGACTAATCGTCGACTGAAAACTGAAAAGTTAACTCTATTAATAAAGAAATTTGGGTTATTTATCAATAAGTCCTCTGCACTTCTCATTCTTTATTAAAGAGTCCCCCACTTATAAAAATATTTAAAAAAATCTCTTTTTTTTTTTTGGGGTATTACATAAATTCTTTAGAGGTTTTAAATATGGCAAACCGTCATTGGTTATGTGAGAGAATTCAAAACATTTAATGACACCAATGCAGTCAGTCATGCATTTAAACCAGAAAATGAAAAATCCATGATTACAATATCTCGGTGAGTTCATCAGAACACAACAAATGGAAGCTACGGACTAGAATTTGTCACTTTCAGGAGCCACTATTAGCAGGCCACAAATAAGCTCTCAATTCGCCAGTTTTCCTGACTAACCATTCATCTTGTATACTGGACCAACTAGTCATACATGACCAAGTTACTCGACTGCAGAAAAGAGACAGCAAATCACTAGTCCTTCTGCAGAATGGCAAGTGGGACTATTGCCTGATGAGATAATCAGACACTTGAGATAGAACTAGCTGTCTCATATACACCTCTGTATCATTTTCTATAAAAGCATGGCAAGGTTTGTTCTATTCAAGAATAATCGCACTAACAATTGCCAACAATAGAAGAAAAATGCTAAACAAACACCATAAATAAAGAGCAATTGAAGCAAAACATACCTGAAATCAGCTCCAAGGATTTGTTTGTGAGGTTGCAGTTTTGTGAAAGGTTCAACAGAGTTAAAGAGGCAAGATCTTCGATATTTTTCACCTCAGCATCAGTTAAAACCCCTCCACATGTTTCAAGGGATTGGAGGTTCTTGAAGCCTGTTTGACATGAAAAAAGGTTTAACACAAAAATAGAACATGCAAAACAATATTTGTGAGAAAAGTTTACATTGAAATTGAGATTTTTCAGAACTTAACACTAGGCCTATTGATAAAAACCATAAGAACTTTCAAATAAACATGATCCTAGAAGTTCTCACAAGGCTACTGGTTATCCTACCATTGGAGATATACACCTCAATAGATCAACTAAAGGGACCTTATATTTCTCAAAGTTACCCATGAACAAGGTATAAAAGAAAGCAATAGAAAATTACCACTAATATTCTTGAGCCCAATTTCTGAAATGTTTTCACAAAGGTCAAAAGTTAAGGCTGAGCACTCTTTTAGGAGACCTACCCGACCCTACCCGGTATCTGTCACATCAGAACCAGAAAGATCAACAGAAAGTAATGATGTCCCTTGTGAAGAGATGACATCCATCCAACTAGCCTACACTCCAGGTTATTCACCCAACCAAACATACTGTCAACACAAGACGCAAATCCGGTAAATATATCTCTTATGAAGGCATAAAAAATTTTTAAAACGTGCACCATGTTTAACCATTCAAGGAAAACTTACCTCATGAGCACAATCGCGCAACTTCTGAAGAAAAACATCAGTAAGAAGATGGTATAAAACCAACTTGTTAAAAATGTGCTGACTTATACCCTTTGGCAGCGTTGCAAATGAACCATATTGGTTGATGCCCTGTGAGATTTAACAGCATATAATTTCAGAAAAAACCTAAACAATCCTCTAAGAAACATGCCAATGTGATAGACATACTTTGCATATTTTATCGATGCATAATTCCATCAGAGATGGGTAAATGGCCACTCCAGGTTGGTGAACTACCATAGGCTGTGAAAAGGAGGTTACAAGCCACTTTGAGCTACCACTCTTCCCATACCTTCCAGACACCCCTCTTTCCATTCCATCTTTGACGACCTGTTGATCTCTCTTCCTTGAACACATTGCTCCCAATTGACTGACAGTCGAATAAATTATCAATTAATATAATGAAGCAAGAAGAGCAACCAATTTATTTCCCATTTTAGAACCATAAAACATGGTATGAAGTCTAAACTCTGCTTCACCCTCCAACACGACTGGACAGAAGCAACAGCATTACAGAGTTAGCTCTTTAAAGAGTACTATAATTGCAAAACCAAGAGGCTAACAAAAAATCACCATCTATCATTCTATCACTGAAATTATATAGAACTCGTATACATCAATGCTAGCGGTATTCATCTCAAGCATCATGAGCATGCAAAACTCTTATTAGCCTCAAAAGGTTTTAGGTAAGCATAATCAGATTCACCGATTAATCAATTCCAAAATCGGAGCCATTGAAAGCATCAGTAACAGAGAAGCTTCAGAAATCAAGCTTAGAATAGTTTTTTTTTTTTTTGGCCAAAAGCTTAGAATAGTTTAGTGAAAACTTCATCCAGAAGCATTAATTAGAATAAATCCAGTAACCCCAAAAAGAAACAGAGCTTCAGAAACAAAACATTCACAGTTAAGTAAGGTGGATCTAATACTTAACTTGCATCCCAAACAAACCAACATGTAAAAATTTATAAAAAGAAAAAAAAAAAAGGCAAAAAGAAGAAGAAACAGACGAAACATTCAAAGCCCCATTTAAAGGATAACGCATAAACCTCCCACATTAAACCACAAAACATTAGTAAATACATTATAATATTAAAAAAATCATATGAAACGATGATCAGAATTTCATTTTCATTTTTTTTTCTAAGGAATCAAATAAAGAGAGGACAAGAAAAGGCTTTTTGACTTGATTTTTATTTTGCTTGTACTTGAAGGGTGTCCTAACTCTTAATCATGTCTCCTTTCCGAAGAAGAAAATCACAATCTATCGATTTAATTACTCCATCCGTCCTTATTTATTTGTATTATATTATTTTTTACGAAATTAAAAAAAATAACTTTAATATATTTAATATTAAAATTTAAAAAAATTATCAAATTAAAATT